ATTTTGTTTTTGGCTTTGGCCCACAAATCTTTGGCCAGTCACAATGCCAGCAACAACAAACACGAGTAACAACAAAGCAGACAAATAGCCGCACGTTGTACGTGCCGCACTCTCGGCTCTCGACTCTGGAGCTGGTGCCAGTTGCCGGTTGCCAGTTGCCAGTTGCCAGTTGCCGGTTGCCCACTGCCTGATGTCTCTCGCATCTGTTTGGAGTTGGCTCTGTACATTTTGTGGTAGTTGCGCTTTTTTAATTGCAGCCCACAGCGGCACAGGAGCGGCTCCCAGTCCAACAATGACGGCCGACAGACAGACAGACAGACAGACAGACGGCGAGACAGACGAACGCGTCGTCTCTTAACAGTAAAAGTAAAATTATGCGATGCTACGTGTTGACAACAAGGTGGAGCATTCCAATACGTCGCCCAGATGCTATCTCATCATCCACTATGGGCCATGGCCCAGGCTATGACTGCCAGCCGCCAGTACGGACGTGTCTCAGCCTCCGAGTTTGCCTCTGTCAGATATTACGTATAAATTAAATGGAATTAATGAGCGTCGAGCTTACAACGAATTATCGATGCTCTACAAATCAGACAGCAATAGGCATATTAGCTAAAATTGTTATTCAATAAAATACAGAAAAAGAAACGGGAAGAAGTAAGCTTTTAGAGTGGAAACTCGGTGTGTTTTATTGTCACACTCCCAAATATTATAGATAAATGACGAAATCTCTTAACTCAGATGTCTTTTGCTTCATTAAACGGTCCCACAAAGTTAAGAGACGCGACGGGGTAGGGTATTTAGCAGTGTTTATCAGCAAATGACATCTAATGAGTTAGACAACTTGGTCAGGTGTGAGTCGCAGTCGCAGTCGCAGTCGGGCTCTGCGACGGCGACGCACCTTTAAGCGGGGCAATTGAAACCTGTTAACCTGTTGCCAAATATTGTCGTCGCGCTGCCAAGAGATGAGATTTATGCGCAGGCCGTTGCTTAGAAAGTCGCTGGGATGAGTCAAAGCGGAGGAGACAGAGCGGGAGAGATAACTTAAAACAAAACTCTTGAGCCGGAGTGACGACTATTTAACGCGTTTATGATGTGGCTGCAGCACTTGGCCAAAGTGGCGCATGAATCACATGGCCAATGGAAATGCCATCAACAAAATGTGCAGCTGAGCCAAAAGCGGAAATGAAGATTGCGCTACCGAAGTGTTGAATCAGCAGCAGCAGCAGCAACAATTCCAGCTCAGATGGCCGCAATTGATAAGTCGGAGGCCGGAGGATGAGCACAGATCACACGGCGAGTGGGTGGGCAGGGCAGAGCAGGGCGAGTCAGAGTTGCAGAGATTGAGAGCTGCGTCTAAGCCAACAAAAGCCGCGGGTGGTGGCCAAAAACGCAGCACGCAGCGCACAGCGCTTCAGCCAGGCAAAAGATTTGGCCAGTTGTTGTGCGTGTATGCGAGTGTGTGTGTGTGTATGACTGCAGAAGTCAAACTGCGCCAGTTGTCGTCCTTTTTGCGGGTAGGCGGATACAGTTTAGTTTTAATACCATAAGCAGCAGCAGGAGGAAACGGGCCAAGGGGCTCAGCGGCTCAGTGGTTGAGCGGCTCAGCGGCTCAGCGGCTAGCGGAACGCGGTTAGCTGGAAAACCACACGTGCCTCCAGAGTGGACCACATGCGGCTGCATCCTGGACACACACTCGCCACAGTAGCCAAGCTGGCATTCGTTTCGCATTTGGAAACGCTTTCATTATCGGCTGCCAGTTGGCATTGACTTGAGCGCAAGTGGCGCATCCTGCCGTGCTCTCTGGCAAACGGGCAACAGTGCAACTGGGAAGAGTGCAACATTTAAATTTGGTCGGCTCATTGGAAAATTGGATGCGGCAATGTTACGGCTTATCAAAACATAGTCAATATTTAATTAACACGAAGCGCAGCGTGTGGCACACACATGATTTATGGCCTGCCGCCCGCTTGCAATGTGAAATTTCTTCTTCATTCTTACTAATTTGTTAAAGGGTCGCTGCACGCGCGAGGGTCAATTGACGCCGACAAAGGTAACCATTTTCCATTTCACACGAGCGGCGAGGGGGCGCTGCTTATGATGGGGCCAGCCGGGTTGGGGGTGTGTGCACGGGCCCTTAATGGTGCATTTAATGATGTGTGTCTAGGGGTAAATGCTTGCAAGTTAACTATGATAATGATAGCAAATACGGCAATCCACAAGATATAACACACACACACACACGCTCACAGCTGTTTGTGTGCGGACAGTGTCCCGGTTAAATGCTTCAAACATCTGGCAACATTTTATGTTGCAGAACAATATTTTTTATTTAAGAAGAAAAATAAAATATTTCTCATATATATATTTATATAATATTTCTAAAGAGTCAAGGGAGCAAAATGAAACAAGTTTGAATGAAATTTGATAAAAAATAATATATTATATTAACTAAATGTTTGGCCAATTGTTCCAGTGCATTCTTTATGATATAGTAGAAGGAAAGAAAGAACGATTTTTCTCCTAGTTGAAAACCATCCAAGTCTTTTTCTTTAAAGAATTTTTAAACGAACTAACAAAGTTTTTTAACCAGAATGGAAGCTATTGCATATTGTTATATATGCATATACATATGTATAAGAATAATCCGCAACGAAATATGTCCTACCTTTTGTACAAATATGTATTTAAAATAGAATGTCCTTTAACTAAGCCCAGCAACTGACTGTCTGACCTAGACTATATATACAAAGTTGGAGATGCCTTTATTAGCGCTTTACAAGCCTTGTAAAATGTAATCAAATATGCAATATATATAGACAACGCTGTTTATGCGGACATAGTTTAACACCTCACGTAACATCGTCTTAATAAATATTATAAAAAAAAAAATACAAAATAGTTTAATATGCACTTGCAGCTTGTGGCAAAGGCGAGCAGCCCTCATCTCCCACCCACGCTCCTCGCTGATCATTTTTATTTAAATATCGTATATATATACGATCTAAGCGTTAATTATATAAATATACAGCTAAAGCTTTTGCTAAAGATGACCTTAGATGGACTCGTGCATTGCAGTTAGTTCACAGAAGCTCAAGCACGTCATGTACATCCATGAATGCATTAAGTAGTCAGTCAATCATTTAAGAAATATTAATTAAATATAATCCTACGGCACGTTCTGTCGTTTAACAAATCGTTTAGCTAAATAGCTGTCTTACCCAACAGCTGGCACACAAATATCGTGTGGGTATACGCAAAGCTGTGTCTACAATATCTTAACCTTAGGAAAGTCAAGTCAAGTCAGGCATGCATTGAGTCAAGATTAAAGTACAAACTGCTTACAACTGTTTATCAACACTTCCCAGTAAAAGTGTTAAAAAGGTGCTTTCAAATTGTCAAAAATAGATCAAAATCAGTTTAAAGTATATACTGCTCGCAGTGGCCACATTCGAGACAGCTAAATAAATATTCCAATTATATATATATAGAATTATTAAGTCAATTGAATTCTTAGAAACAAAAAAGTGTTTATCTCTTTTACTATAAGCTTCTATAAATAAGAAAGCACATTCCGTTGCATTCCTCGTCAAATGCAATCAAATCAAATCCCGAGTTGATCCACGTCTGCTAATGCGAGCTTTAGCTCCATTTTTCAGGCAACTAAGGACTATATCTTATATATCTTTTCTGACATACAGAATTATAAATTTTATTTATTGCAGCTAACAAAATACTTACATAACAACAACCCATTGTCAATGGGTTCAGATATAATAAAGTATATCAACATAAGAATGTTGCCGCAACAATATTTCGCTTTGATGTTGCGCAACATGTTTCTCGTATGGCCAGATGTTGCTATGCAAACAAATATAATAATAATAAGAAGAAGAAGAAGACACTTGAAAGGATTACATTGTATAAATATGTTTATTTATTTACTTATTGTTTTGTCTTTACCACAAAAATGCCAAAATAAAAACAAAAAAGTCATCATACATATTAAAAACATTAAAATAAAATAGTATTATTATTATTATTATTATTATTATTATTATTATTATTATTATTATTATTATTATTATTATTCATCTTTATTCAGATGTGCATGCAGGCGATGCCCACTAGCCCGCCCCCTCAAACCCTTTGTGGGCATGGCAAGCTGCACGTAATACATATTGCGTATGATATATCATTTTCCATTCTCATATTTTCTCTTTTTTCTTTTTATAAATAGCAAAACATTTACAATCTTATTGCAGCGCTCTAAAGGAAAACTTTTCTTTTATTATTATTATTTTAAGGCTTTTGGGTGAAAATATGTTTTTTTGTGTTTTGTTTTTCAATTTATTCCAAAGAGTTTTTTGCGTTCACATTTTTAATTGGTAAACTTAAACAAAACAATGCATATATCATTCTTTATATAGTTTAATAGTTTTTGTTTTTATTATTATTTATTATTATAAATTTTAGGTAATACATTTTCAACGTGTTTGTTTTTTTGTTGTTGTTGTTGTTTTTGTGATTTTAAAATAAAAATACTTAAGATTTATTTTTGTTTTATTATTAAATTGTAATTAATTGTATTATTAATAAGATAGCGAGAGAATCGCACAAGTTCCGAGTTATAAGGCAAGAGAATTGCAGCTGTCTATTGAATATTGATTGATTGATTGATTGATTGATTGATTGAATGCTCGTAATGCTGCAAAAGTTGTTGCTTTGTTGTTGGCCGCGGAAAGCACAAGAAGCTTTAGCTTAATTGTGCTTTACATAAACAAAGCTAACTTTTCAATGTTGCTAAGGCATGTTGCATGTTGCATGTTGCATGCTGCATGTTGCTTGTGCCATGCTGCTGTTTGCTGGTTTATTTGTTGTAGGCACGCCCACAGGTGTTCATGTGTAAATTTCTGCAAAGATTATTTTGAATTCTGATTGTTGTTGTTGTTGTTGTTGTTGCTGATGCTGCTGCTGCGCCTGCGCAACATGTGGTGGGCGTGGCAAGTGCACGTTTTCGAAAAACCATTAATTAATATTTTGAGAGAGAAAAGAACAAAAAGAACAACCAAACCGTGTAATAAACATAAGCGAATTATCGAATACCAACACCCGATTGCATTCCGATGTTTATCGTTGCAGTTGCACTTGTTGCACTTGTTGCAGCTGCTGCTGCTGCTGCTGATGCTGCCGCTGACGAATGCATCAAGAGGAAGAAGCTTGTGTGTGTGGTGCATGAGAGTGGGCGGTGGGCGTGGTAGTGGTGCTGGTGCTGGTGCTGGTGGTATAATGCTGTGCTTGGCTGTACTTGCTGCTGCGATCGATTACCGATAACCAGCAAATATCGATAACTCTATCTATATGACATTTGCCCATTTTCCATTGCTTTAATATATAATATTTGTGATATTGCGTGCGGTTCTTGTTTTTGCTGTTGGTGCTGCGGTGCTTAGATATCTGATGGTGTTCATTTTTTTTTCTTGTTTTTTATATATTTTATATTGCTGTGTGTTGCTATTTTTTTTTTGCGTATATATTGTATTTATGATAATTTAGCTTATCGCCAAACACACTGACTACATCTACAAATAGAAGAGAAAATAGAGAAACAAAAAAGTGATGTAGTAGAGCCGTGTTGTGATAAAAAGTGTTCAAAAATAATCATATGTCAAAAATCAAGCATTACATATGACAATTTATGTGCTTAAATGTGTTGGTGCTGTGTCTTTGAATGTGCGTGTGTGTGTGTGTGTGCTTATATAATGTGTATGTGTGTGCGTGTGTGTGTGATTGATATGTGCAGAAACTATATTATATTAAGATCTGAAGCTAGCTAACGAACTGGGAATTTGTCTTTCTTTAGTTCTTGAGATTTACATGTGTAAATCCTTTTATATATATACTATTTAAGTTTAGAGATATAGGGACCAAAGTGAATATAAGTATGAGAACTCATCTTAAAGTTCCTACCGTTAACTCTTGCTTGTTTCTTATAAACATATTTACCCGAATTCCTCATTGGGATTCTGGCCCTTACTTGCGTCTAAATTTAATAAAGTTTTCCATATCCGATATCCTGTTTCTTTCCCTTTTTATTATTTTCATTCAGTTCAAAGATATTTTCCTTGCGGTTTGTGTAAATTTTCCACAGAAGCTTCTATCCAATAACTACACCCAATTAATCGGCGGCTTCTCTTTAATATTATTTCTCACAAATCAATTTACTTACGCTAAATAAATCAACACTTGAATTGTGCCTTATCAAATTTCATAATAAATAATTGCGTTCTAATTTTAATTTCGTGCAAAGACTACAAACTCGAAAGACTGCGAATCCGTCAATACCTGGAAGACTTATCAAAATGCTTTCGGCTTAAACGATTTACTAACAATTCATAATTTATACAAAACAATCTTTGTATTTACACAGATATATTGACAAAATGTCGCATATATCTCACCAAAGCCAACACCAAAAATATATTTTAAAGCTTTTCATGCACATTTTTATAAAAAAAAAAATTATACAAAATGTAGATCTGTACAATTTGTGGCAAATTTGATAGAATCGATGTGGTTGTTGTTGTGGAACTCACCTGTGCTGACGCAGATTATCACGTTGCTTGAAATATTTGCCGCAGACCTCACAGGAATATGTTATCTCTGGGGATTTGTGCGTGCGCTCGTGTATCATCAGATTGTATGGCTTGGTGAAACGCCGCTGGCAATACTTGCAAATGAACTCACACTTCGGACGCATCTTGCGACGGAAATCCGACCGGCAGTCATCGTTGTCGATTCGCATTACAGCAAACATTTTGACAGACGATAATATTTTCCCTCTTTTTTTTTTTTGTTGTTTTTTTTGTTTTGCCTACGTGCGACAGACGCGCGCGCGCTCAGTACTCGCACAATCAGTGGGTGAAGTTTTTCGTTGAGTTGGCGTCGGTTTCGCTGCTGCTGCTGCTCCCGACGACACACTCTCTTCGCTCGCACACACACACACAAGCACGCTCTCTCTCTCGCTCCGTGTAGCTGTCAATGTGTGTGCTCGATCTCTTGCACTCAGTTGCCGAGTGGGGTTGCTGTTGTTGAGCTTTGCTCTGTGCAATGAGCGCAATGCCTGACGTTGTTAACGGTACTCAAAGCGTAATCGCTATCTCTATTGCTATTGCTAGCTGGCAGATAACAAATACACACGGCGCTTTTTTCTCTATGGCTGCTGCTGCTGAAATGTGGCAACGCTGTGGCCTTTTCTTTTTTTTTCTCTTTTTTTTTGTCAACTGTCACACGCTCGCTGCCCGTTGGCTGTTGGCTGTTGGCGTTGTGATTTCTCCGTTTGCTAGTTTTTTTTGTTGTTGTTGTAGGCGTTTTGGGTGGGCCGTCTCTCCAGCTGCTGCTGCTGCCGTTGCCTTTTAGTTTATGGCGCACTTTAAGGCAAACACCTAAAAATACAGACAGAGAGACAAGAAACAAAGTTAAATAAAGTTAGCAACGCCTGCGACATCTTTTATGTGCCAATAAATTTGAGCGAAAATACCACGACAACAGCATCTCGACAACAACAACAACGACAAGTTGTCAACTTAAATCACGCAACATGAAATTGAAAATGACTCATTAAAGCCCGAAGCGAACTGCTGGCCCATACGCAACACGAACTTGGTGTTGACATTTACAAATCACCAGCCGCCCAGTTTCAGTTGCTAACCTTCGCTTATAATTTGTCTTAAACGACATCTTTTAACTGTGCGACTTTTTTTTTTTTTGTAGCGGTAATTCCAAGCCCGGCTCATTGTTGCCAGATTTCAACTGTCACCAGCTGCCGTATTTTGTTGTCAACTGTACTTCCGCAACACAATTGTTCCATTAGCGCGAGGCTGACAACAAAAAAAAACTGGCGTGCACCAGTGCTTTAAAGCTCAAGGATGCGATTTTTAGGTTAGGCTTTACTTTATAGGAAAGTGTCAACTATCTAAAGCTTTTAGATATACTTGGAATTTTAAGAGGTAAACTCTTTAGATATAAGTTGGAATCTAGACTGCTTTAGCACTCGAGAACTCATACGATATAATATTGGAATTGAGAGGATTTCTTCATCTACAGCCATAAAAAGGCTATATACGATATTTAATGATCGTAGCTGCACCAACTGCTCAGACAGCGTGTCTTTACCATGAATATGTTAAGTACATGTTTACCAAATGGTTAACCTTAAATAATCATATATTAGTTATTTTGAAATAAGTTCTGAAATAACTTTAAATATAAGCAAATTGTGCTCTATCCTTCGTATCCTTTAATCGAATGACTCTTTTCTCAGGCTAAAGAGAAAGTACTTCAGTTGCGAGTAGCACGTGATTAAGTGTTGCGATTGTAGAGATTTCTGCATTATAATGCATCTACTGCTATAATCAGATCATATACCAAGTTTTATGATCGTAGCTGCACTAACAGCCGAGTTCCCATAGGCCAAACAACTATAAAGACACTGAAAAAGGCGTCACAAATTCACTCGGAGAGTGTTTATGCATTTACGACAGCCCCCGGGCGCATACAGTTGCCATATTTTAGTCGCTTCATTAAAGTGGCGCTGTAACAAGTTTATTTTTAATTGGCGCCTGGGCTGAGGCTGGACTTTTAAATTTATGCCAGATGATTTTTGGGTTATCGAGGTGCCGATGCCGTTGCCGTTGCCGCGTTTTGGGTCCTGTGCGGTAGTTAACAACTGTTATTTTTTATGTAATTTTATTTTTGTCATTTCGGCGCCGCTGGATGGCATTTGTTGTTGTTGTTGTTGTTGTTCTTTGGTTAGCATATGAATATGTATATAAATACGCGTCAGTCGCTTAATGTTATGCCATATATTCTGGGGGCTTGGAGAGCATTCGTACTCGGATTCGGATTCGGATTCGGAGATTTCTGCGCAAACAAAAGCCTGCGCCGACTGGTAGCGACAACGTCTCTCGGCAAGCCCCGATTTCGATATTTATTTATATGGTTTTTGTTTTTTTTGGTTTGAACGCTCGCAGCTGGAGTTGGACTGGGTCTCGGTTTTTGACTGGGGGCAAACGTTGACAACAAAAGGCAAACGTCACAGCGGGTGCTGCACCAGCCGCAGACGCTACGTAGTTATTGTCATTATAACATTAATGCACACTAAACATATTCAAATTATAACACTGACTTTGCGTCCAGGTCGCTGATCGCCAACTGTAGACGGAGACGGAGCCAAAGTCGCAGTCTTAGTCCAACTCCAGCTCCAGCTCCAGCTCCAACTCCAGCTCTCCAGCTCGATGTTAATTTGTGTACACAATGTGGCGTCACATTGGCATTTTAACGCCGTTAATCATGCGACACAGGGCGCCTGCATAAGGCCATGGATTCGATATGGATTCGGAGCTGCATGTGCATCCCCAGGCCAAGGCATGGCCTTTGGCTATGCTTTGGCTTTGCTTTTGGCCATGCTTTTCCGTCATTTGGCGTGGGCCTAAGTGGAGCAGCATTAGCCACGGCTTACGACTGCGTCTAAGCACTTTATTTAGCCTGGCAGCCGAGAGCTGAATGCGTTTAACTCAAAAAGTGAGGTCGAATAGCTCGATGGCATCTACTTAAGAAAACGTTTGAACTTGAGATCAACTTTGTCAACTTGTTAGTTATATAGAGTACGAATTTCTAGTTCAAATCTAAATTATTTAAGATTAAGCACTTTAATACTATGCGGGAAATATATTTATAGGCATAACATACTAATTAATAAGTAGTAAAAATGTGATTTAAGGAGAGTTCGCTTTTCCTTAAAAGTCATGATAGAAAATATTATAAACGCTTCTCTGATACGATAGAAAAGGATCTATTCTCAGCAAATATTTGAATAATTACAAAGCAATTGCGAATTGCATGCCATTATCATATATGATAAATATTTTGCATTTGACTTTTGCAAACGTTATTCATAATCCGTTTGCCAACTGTTGCTGATATTTGGCCAAAATCCGCTTAGCGTTAGCCCAACTCAACAGCAACACCCACAGAGACCACACGTATGTACTTACGAGAGCTGGCCAAATATTGTATAATAAACTGTTGTACAACATGCAGCTAATCCCATTAATCCGCAGTGAAAATAATTAGTGTTTTGTACACACAGCGCAACGAGAGGTCTGCTCCAAGGGACTGAGAACCGCAGCGAGAAAGATGCTGCATACGTATATATAAGGGCACATATATATGTCCATAGTGAAAGATCAAGACACAGCGTGAAACTCAGACTTCAGACGGTGAAGTGAACTGAAGATGCAGCAGCTTGTGAAGGGCATGCGAAAGGCGTTAATGCTGCGTGAAATTAGATTTGCACCAAAAATGGCAACACACACACACACACACACGCACACAGAAGAGAGACAGATACGCATCGTATCTGCATCTGTATCTAAGTCGGGTGGCAAGTGTGTGTGTGTGTGTGCAAGTGTTAGTGCGCCAGCGCCTTCCACGAAGCCAAAAACCGAAAAGTTACAGTTTAACACCCCGGCCCAGCGATAATGTGTAGCGGTACACAGCGATAAGGCAGCAAGGACCTAAAAAACCAGAACAAAAAAAACAAAAAGGGAAGACAGACGGACAGTCGGACAGAAGAGTGACACACACGTCGCGTTAAGGGCCCATGGCAGAGAAGACATGGTCAAAAGCGATTACCACACTTGCCAATGGCCTTTTTCTTTTGGAGGCGGACAGTGAGTTGGCAAGGTGTCATTAAAAATTACAGCCGAAATGTGGAAAAAATGACAATAAGCCGAGCCATTCGGGCCACGGCCATATAAAATGAAAAGGACAAAGGCACCGAAACGATTTGATACGAATCTAATTGTGCTAATGGCGCAGAATTCTCAAGAAATGCCCAACAACAATTAGGCACTGTGCCACAGCGCTTCAAGTAGTCAAAGAATGGGAACAATGCGGCCAAGGAGCCGGGCGCGCCAAACTGGACACAGTCGGGCCAGTCGGGCCAAGGAGCCAAACACCTAACCACAAAAGGTCCTCGCTCAAATGTCCTTCTTTACAGCTTGTGGGAAAACACGCACTTTGTTCGGCGCGGCAAATGTTAACTCGATGCGATCAAATGTTGCGTGATCGGTTATGACAGACAGTTCGGGAACAGGATCCTGCAGGAATCCTACATATATGCTGCCAAAAGGTGCAAAATTTCTGCTAGACTGTTCGCTTAACTAATTTGTGCCTAATTGATGGCACGCAGCGTGTGGTCTAAGGTCCACAAATGAAGGACGAGGCCAGAGTTTCCTGCCGATGGCAATTCTTGCACAATATTTAAAATATTGCCATGCTCGGAATAATGGTAAAAGTTTAAATATATTTTTAGCTGCTTTTTAAATTTGGCGACTCATTCAGCTAAACTTTATAAATTAAAGTCACAGGCGTGAGTCAGAGCTTAGTCTAAGCCACATTAATTTGACGATCTGTGGCAGCTGATTTGCGGTTGTGAGTGTTATTGTCTATGCGATACGTTTTGTGCGTTTGGCAAGTTTTATTAACCTCGTGCAGGCCTTGATCGCTTATAAGAAGTTGGCCAAGTAGTGCTGACTCATGGGCTTACAGCTGAAAGAGCTAAGCCCGTAAGCTCATGTTGAAAAAATGCCGTCGGCAAAAGATTAATATGAAGATAACTTTTACAAGTGCCAGAATTAAGCTATAATATAATGGTTTACAGTTTTATAATCAAAGATTTTATGGTATACTTTACATTTATATACTTTTTAAAAAATTTCCATATTTAAATCAAGCTGAAATAAATATAACGTTTAGCTCGCTTTTCTTAGTACGGAGTGTAAGATATTAAACTAAAGTTCTAGTAAAAATATGCCTTGGCTGTAATTAGAGCGCAGATCTGGCAACTCTGTTGCCTATTTGATGTGTGGGCCTCAAGACAGCGTGTCCAATAGGCTAGATAAATATTCCGTTATGGTCGCCATTTTGCGACACTTTTACAAGCAGGCAAAAAAAAGCTCAACGAACGCCATTGACAAACCATTTCTTTAAACTCTCACGCTCTTGCATACGCGCACACACACACACACGCACAGACTCGCAACGAGAGGCGCTCACGCACATTTGGCTTGGGCCAATGAAAGCGCGTAAAACTGGTAGCCAAACAAACACAGAAACAACAACAACAACAAGAACAGCATAAAAAGAAGAGAACAGAAAAAGAACAAGAACATAAGCGCCAAGCGCTGCCTACTGGCTACTGTGCGACGCCGCCGCCTAGGTGCAGCCGACCGACGCTGACTGCGCAGTCAGGTCCCATAGCAATGGCGACGCTTGCGTAACTGCGCAGTCGCATAGGCAAAACTTACCCAATGGGAAAAGTGCGACAAAATGTTGGTAGCTGCTGCTGCTGCTGCTGCTTTTGCTGCTAATCACTGGAATTAACGCGACGACAACAACGATTGGCGACGAATGAATTAAAGTCACGTAGCGCAATATCTTGTAATGTGTGTAGCGTAATTATTATTATGATAATTATTTTATTTTTATACTTTTTTTATTCTTCTTTCTATTTTGCTTGGGTAGGTACACGCGAAGGAACTGAGGAACTACGCACGCTTGCGCGGCACAAAGTTGAATGAATGAATGCTACTAATAACTGAAAGAAATAGTAGTCAACTCTGCTGCTGCCGAGAGCTGCTGCTGCGGCTGCGGCTGCTGCTGCTGCTGCTCGCGTCGCTGCTGCCAAGTTGAGGAAGCGGCGACGACGCAGTCAAGACCAAAAGGCCGAGGCGTTTCAGTGTGTGTATGTGTGTCTTGAGTGCGGCTCAATACAGTAGTGGATGTGTGTGTGTGTGTATGTAAATGTGTGTGTGTATGTGAGTCATCGGACTACTGTAGTGCCACAGCAACAGCAGCAGCAGCAGCGGCAGCAGCAGCTCTGCCTAGCTCTTCTTTCTAACTGGTCAAGCACGAGGGCTAAAGCCGAACCCGAAGACGCATTCGTGACACGAAGAGGAAGCTCAAGACCAGAAGCCGAAGCAAGTTCTTATAAGCTTCGGCTACTGCGCATGCGCAAGACGAGTAGCACCCAAGCTGCGCACTTGCTCCCTCACTCTCTCTCTCTCTCTCTCTCTTTCACTCAGCCCCAAACTCTATGCGAGCTGTTCTTGTTGTTGCTGCTGCGTAACTGCGGCAGCTTTCAACAGTAGCCACAAAATGGCAACGTCTAACAAAATGGCGTCTGCTTACCTTTTTTCTTGTGTGCCGCAAATCGCAAACGTATATTTGCACCCGCAGTAACGAAAATTAATTACAGCTGGTTTGGTTAGCCTTTTCGTAAATTCATTCACTTTTGTTAATTTTGCGTGCTGCTAACAGACGGCGACAGCGCTTGCACGAGTCAAAGTTTATAAGCACAAAAAGCTGGCACAGCTCGACTGCTAATATTATTAATAAAATATATTTCACTTCCGAACGCTTCTGTGCGCGAGAGTCAACTGCAAAGTTACGATCGAAACTTCAGCTTGATGGGTTTAACAGCTGCCTGTGTTGAAACAGTTGAGCGGCGCAACAACAACAACAAGAGCATAAAACAGCTTCTGCTGCTGCTGCTGCTGCTGTTGCTGTTCGCTGTTCGCCGTTCGCCGTTCGCCGTTCGCTGCTTGCATTCAATTGTCTCTGCACTGTCTCGCTCTAGCACAATTGAGCGCAAAACGAGTTTGAGTGAGCGCAACGTGCGCTGATTGGATGAGAGCGGCGAGTGTGTTTATGTGTGTGCGAGAGCGAAGCAGGTGAGTCAAGTTCCTCTTTATTTTTTCTGTTTCTTGAGCGCTGCTGCGCCGGGGCGTTACGGGCGTGCGTGCGCTGGCCTGTTAATTAAGCCTAAATGCGCCTACGCCCGCCAAAAAGGTTTACATTTTAATTAAGAGCGTGCGCAACACACACAAATTATATGCCAAAGAGCAGTAGCTGCCCGCAAAGCTCTCTCTCTCTCTCTCTCTCTCTCTCTGGCACACAAGCTTATGTATTGCTATCCCTCTCTGGCTCTCGACTAGCTGCTGTGCAACGCAATCAACTTTCTTTTACACACATACATACGTACACTCCAACATATACTCAGTTGTTAAGTGGGCGTTGCCTTGTGGCGCTTTTGGGCGGCCAATGGCAGCAACGTTTGCGTCGCTGCTGGCGCTCAACTGTCAGTTGCCTGCCCTTAACCCGTTTCTCGTGTGTCTCTCACTCGCTTGCGTCAGTGTGCGTGTGCGTTTGTGTGTGTGTGTGCGACTCTTTCTATCTGTGTGTATGTGTGTGTGTGTGTGAGTGCTGAAAACCAGTGGCAGCGCGCCAGGCAGCCGTATTACGCATACGCCGCATTGACTGCGCTGCCAACTTTGTTAACTGTCGCGGCTCCATTTTGTGTGCGTGTGTGTGCGTGTGTGCCGCCATGGGAAACTCTGAAATGCCTTTTTCTTTAGCCGCTGCGGCATTTGTTGTCGCTGTGTGGCCTCTTTGTGCACAGCAAACAACAAATAACATGTAGAAATACAAGAAGAAGAAAAATACAAAAATAAACGAGAAAATACCGAAATACATTTTGTAATGCGCCGCAAAAGGGCCGACCTCATATTTATTGTCTGTTTATCTCTTGCGTTCGGCCTGCTCTAACTGATTGCCTTTCATTTTCTTCGTCTCATCTTCTGTTGAATGAAACAAACGCTTCATTCACAAAGATTCACAAAAAAACAAAAAACAAAAAATCAAATAAAAGCAAAATGAACAAATTTCGTTAATTTTACACAACTCTGCGCCTTTTGTTATTTTAATTAAGTGGCCCCAAAAAGGATTGCCTCTTGTTATTGTTTCTTTTTTCATTTGTGTTTTTTTTGTTTTTGTTTTTGTTGCCTGCTGTTGGCTTTTTTAATTAAGTTTTCGCTTTGCGGAGCTGGCGAATTGACATGAAGCATCAATAAAATTTAACAAAAAATGCTCAAATTGTCTCTCTTTGTGAGGCTGAGCGCAGTTTCTTTCCATATATAAAGGCAACTTCTTTATTTTTGTAAATAATAACAACTGTTTCAATTCGTTTTTGATGGCTTCATTCCGTATTTTGTGCCCAACATTTGCATATATCCAATCAGCAGATCCGCAAATTGATTTTTTACAGTCAGCCATGCGGTAATGCCTTATTAAGCATGCGCAACTACATATATTGACATCTGGTGAAAATTTAAGAGCATTTATAAACAATTATACCGAATCAACATATAAATAAATATACTTAATAAGCACTTGCCAAAAGTTGCATCAAAAAAATATTTAACATGTATTTCACTTTAACATGTGAATTAACATTGCGAAAATTTAAATTTATCCACAAATAATATTTTAGATGCATATACATTATATTATATACACATATTATATATATATTACATATCATTATATATATATACATTTTGGGCATTAAGAACATACTTCATTATAGACTATAGCCTATAGACTTGTTTAAAGTGAGACTCTTTGTATCTTTTACGTTTCAACACAGATAATTTTCAAGATTTTCCCATCATATTCTTATATATTTGTATATAATATATATTAATATATATACAAAATATATAAATAATTTTCATAAATTCCTGAATAGATAGTTTTTCGGAAAGCAAACTTCAAGCAGCATTGCAAGCAATCCAAATTCAAGCTATCTTAATTTAAGTAACAAATACTTAATACTCAATTTTATATTTTAAGTGCATATCTGCTAAATTTAAGCATATCGCAGCTTAGCTTAAGAGTAAAATGGGCATATGGTCTTTAGAATTTATATCAATTTTAGAACAAACTAGTTTGAAGAAAAATGAACTAAAATGATAACAGATCAATTATTATTAGCTAATATAGCTAACTTATTTGTTCCGCTGAAAACTAGTTTCAAGTTAACAACATAAATATTCTTAGATAATTTAGTTTAACGCCAGTTGGCAACATTCTTCAAATGTTACCTGTGCCGCAAAGAACCTAAACAAAGGCAAACAAGCCAAAGTAACTCAGCTCTGTGATTCACCTTAAAGTAGGCCTCTAAATATCTATGTGAGTGTGCGTGTGTATGTATGTGTTTCTATATGTATGTCAAATGTTTCGCTTTCTCGACGTGTATGTGCCACCGATTGCCACTTAACTTTGCCACACACTTGGCCCACCAGCTTTATGGCAAATTAATAAGCCACGAAAATTCCAAATAAACCATAAATTTTATTAATTTTCTATCCGTCTGACTAAAACAGCTGCCACCTTCTCACACACACACGCATGTTAATTTAAATATTCAGAGAGCTATTCATGAAAAGCATCTTTTTGTATATTTTTATTGAATTGCCGCTACAATGACAGCGATTCAGATGTTATTCTGAAGAAATCAAAATAAAAGAAGATATATGCTTTGTAGAGAGACAGCAAAAACTACCGCACCGCACCCAATTATAATCAAAAACAAACGAAATCGATTTCGAATTCGGTTATTTTGTTGTATTTTTTTTTGATTATTGTTTCGATTCAGAACTTGGCGAACAATGGAAAAACCTTTTGCGCTCCTACAGAAGTGACAACAAATTTAAAATTTACGAAATAAAAATTAAAATTAAATAAAACACAATGGAAACTGGAAACCATAGAAACCGAGCAGAAGTTGAAAAAATAATAATCATAAAAAAAATAAATAAAATTAACATACTAACTAAAATGCATACGAAATGAGCAGAGAAGCGGGCAGCGTAGCTGCTCAATGTTCGATCGATAGCGCTTTTTTTTTGGATTTTTTGGTTTTTTATGGACATAGTACGAGTTCATTGAGTTCCGAATTCATTGATGGATCGTGTCGCTATAACGGCAGCTAACTGTTCAACATGGAAACAGACAACGCAGCCATATTGGAAGTCTGGTCTGGTCAAAAGCTAAAGCTCGTACATAATTCTAATTTATGCAGATGGATGTCGCAGCTTAGCCATATGAAATAAATCACGCTTTTTAGGTGCCAGCGCATCACAGATTTGGCCAACACCTTGAATGAAACCGGGCAGCGCTGCCGCCGTCGCTGCCGTGAGGCAATCAGCACCCCCGAAAAGTTTGTCATCAGCTGTTGACAATGCCGCCTCGCACCTCGCTGCGGTCCAGTTGCGGTTTATTTATATAGCGACAATACACAGCTCAGATCTCGCCCACGTCTGCGCCTGTCTCCTCCTGAACCCAACTCTTGGCCCAGCTCCAGCTCCAGCTGCTTCTCTTCGTGAAATTTATGCGACCGCATCGCTGCCGTATGAATTTTTAATTTTTCACAAAATGCCTTATTTTTTTATGGTATTCTTTCATTTGTTGTTGCGGTTGTTTGTTGATTCTTTTTTGTTTGTTTAATTTTGGCAATTAATGAAACTTAATACTTTTGTGCACAGTGTGCACAATGAACAAAAAACAAACAGTTGCGAGCAGCTTTTGTCAAGTCATCGTGAGTTAATGTTCAGGCAGAACAGTTGATTATACAAATTAACCAAAAATTTCAAATGGAAATTTGTGGAAAATTTTTGAGCTCAACATTATTCGTATTTAAGTTAGCTATCCATTAATAATGTAAGGCAGTTTATTGTAGAATTTTACCAAAAATATAAATTGAAAATTTAATGAAAATTTTGAGCTTAACACTAGCCAATATTAAGTTAGGTAAAGACGTTTATTACAGAAACTATAGAACATTAAATTTATGGAAAACTATCTATATATAAGTTTGGGTATCAGATTTTGCTATTAAGAAATTTTAATATATTATATCATATTTAAAGAAAAACTCTATTTTGTATCTAACACGAAGGCTAAACTTTGCTATACAATTTTTCTTGAAAGGAATAATAATAATAATAATAATAATTCTAGCCCAATATAGAAAAATCAAGGATTATAAAGGAAACCATTCAACACCATTTCGGAAACAAAATGCAAGCAAAGCCTTGTTAAAGTCAGGTCATCGGATAACACACACACACACGCACACGCACAGACGCACACACCCAGAAGACCACTTGAATGGCAATACATAAAATACCTTTTGTGGGTTATACGAATAATAGGGTTTGTTGGCCACAAAAGTCAATGGTCAGGCGTTTTATTATTAGCTGAACCAAAATGCAATCCCCCGCATTACTCACGTCTCCGATGTTTAGAAAGCTGCCAAGCTGTGAAATAAGATTTACGATCGATTTTCATGTGCTAAGCGCCACATGAACTTCCGTTGATTTAGAGCCAACAAATATCAAAGTTCCCAAAAAAACGAAAATTCAAAATAATAAAACTGGCAGCTGAGGTGTTGCCCGGCTCGCTGGCTGACTGCCAGGCGTAGGTGTCACCAGCTGCAGTCCCAGTCCCAGTTCCAGCTCCAGCTTCAGCTTCAGCTCCAGCTCCATTTCGTTGCCGCTTAAACAAATTGAATTTCAAATTAATCGTGGATGGTATCGCTAACAAAAGAAAAGAAAACAAACAGAGAGAGAGAGAGAGAAAAATTGTTTTATTACATTGATTTGCATTTAAATCGATGTTCCGACAGAGACGACTATATAGTATATATATATACATATTTATAGATGGAGCCTGGATTTGGGGGACTGTTGATAAGGAGCTCAGCGAGCGGGCAGAGGGCAAAAATGTTGACAAGCTGACAACGAGAACCCGAAACCGAAACCCAAACAAACAAAAAGAATCTTGAATGAATTTTCGATATTCAAAAAAACCCAAAAAATTGAATGAATCTCTCGATTCGGATATTGTATTAGATCATAAATAAGTCAATAATGCGTTGGGCTTTGATGCAGTGAAATATTAACAAATGCAACTTGTGGCTTTGTAGGTGGCGTCTGTGCATAGGGCGCGGGGCGTGGCGGGGCGGGGGCGGGTTACTGTGTTTTTGGTTTTTTCTTGCCACTATCTTTGGCTCTCTCCGGCCAACTGTGGGCAAATCACGATTTATGCTCAGCAAATGCTTTTTAGCCAGCGGCCAAAAAGCTGAACACAAATTTGTTCATTCAACGTAAAGTTGAAACTGGGCAACAGGTTTCTCGTCTTGCCTCTTGTTGTTATTGTTGTTGTTGTATTTTGGGGCAGCTTGCAAGTTGGTCGTGCCAAACAATGAGAAAATGAAACTCATCTGCGTACTCGCTCTTATCCAGCTGCTCCCAGCTCCAAGCTCCAGCTGCTGCCTCCCACCGCACTCAGCAGCAGCAACAATGAGAGACGCGGCCGAGCGAGACTCGGAGACTCTTGAGTCTGAGCAACTGCGGCCAAAAACCAGCCCCAGAGCGAGTTGGCGAGTTGGCGAGTCGCAAGTCGCAAGTCGCAAGTCGCGAGTCGCGAGTTGCCTGCCACTCACTCAGTGGAATGGCATCCGAATCCTACCGTGGGAAATGAACAGTAGTTGCTTTTGGCTTTTGGAGCAACAACAAGTTTAATGCTACAGTCAGTTGTTGTTGCTGCTGTTGTTGTTGCTGTTGTTGCCTTTGTTGTTGTGGGCTTTGCAATTTCACTGCAGCTTTTCGGTCGTCGGCGCATATCAAATAAGCCTAATAATAATGCAATTTATGCCAAGCAAGCAAGTAAAGAGCCACAAAATGACTTTTGACTTGCTCTATTTTGCATGCCTCAGACAGAGATGAAGCAGGGCTAGCAGGGTAAGAGAGAAAGAGAGATAGAGAGAGAGATTTATTTATATTAAATTAATTGCTAATTTTTAAAGTTTAATTCAATTTGTATTCGTCCTGAATTATACGCAAAAATATTTCCTATTTATATTTTATTTTTGTTATAAGCATTTCATCATCATCTTTCTCGGCCAAGACAATGGAATTCAAGCCCATATTCTTTCAAATATTTATTTCTTAATAGTTTTCAAAAAGAATACGTGTTTGTGTTGGGTATTAATTTACATATATAATACACTTTTATGGTATTGCCAGCTTTTATTTTAACTGAAATATTTAAAAACTTTTGGTGTAAATTATTCTCAAATTATTTTATTTTTTAAGACTACCTTTTTATGGCCCAAGCTTCAAATATAGACAAATATTCTTTAAATATAAAATAAAGTAATAACAAGAAAATGCAAAACAATTTTGCAACATTGCCTTCATATCTAATATTACATATTCATGTTAAAAAATATAACAAAATCTTACTAAAATTGCGCTTTTTCTATTATTATTATTAACTATATATATAATTAATTAAACAAATAAAACTGTTCAGTTTATTATTATTATGTGATTATATGCATCTTGGGCTATGTCAATTAAACCTAATTGAATTTGCAGCAAATATAAAAAGTAAGGCTTTAAAGATAAACAAATTTGATATTTTTTAAAATAAAATATATAAATAAAATATAAAAATATAAATATATATATATATATATATATATATGTGTGTGTGTGTGTGTGTGTGTGTGTGTGTGTGTGTGTGTGTGTGTGTGTGTGCGTGTGTGTGTGCGTGTGTGTGTGCGTGTGTGTGTGTTAGTGTATGTATACATGTTTAATACCAAACGCAGATCAAGCTTATTTGTCGCTGTGCTGCAAATTTAAATAAAACGCATTTTTACCAAGTGCTCTTCTCCTCGATCCTCAAAAAGTCAAGTGGGCTTTGCAGTTTTTCATGCTTAGCTAGTAGTGTAGTGTTTTTTTTTTTGTATTTTTTTGTTGTTTTTTTGTTTGTATGTGCATTTATATGTATGTATGTATGTATGTATGTATGTATGTATGTATGTATGTATGTGTGTGTGTGTGTGTGTGTGTGTGTGTGTGTGTGTGTGTGTGTGTGTGTGTGTGTGTGTGTGTGTGTGTGTGTGTGTGTGTGTGTGTGTGTGTGTGTGTGTGTGTGTGTGTGTGTGTGTGTGTGTGTGTGTGTGTGTGTGTGTGTGTGTGTGTGTGTGTGTGTGTGTGTGTATGTGTGTGTATGTGTGTATGTATGTATGTATGTATGTATGTATGTATGTATGCACATATGTATGTACTTAAAACGTTGCCCACAAAATCTTTGAATCGCATTTCTATCGAGGAAGCTTGGATTCTGCGAAGTGTGAAACACGTCTCAAATGATTTTTTCAAATAAGTCAAATATTTACTTCATCGATGCGTGTCCTTTTAAGTTTTAGTACCAACGCCTTTTAAAAAGTTCAACCAATGAAAATCTAAATTGAATAATTTGTATAAAATCGTTTCCTTGAAAACCCTGTTGAATAAAACGCATTGCGCTTGAGTTTCTATACCATAATTTATTATTTTAATTGAGTATATTCTATATTTAATCTTTTTAACAAATTTATAAACAATTTACATAAAATATATACTATACTCCGATTCATATATATATATATTTATATATAAGCATATGCAGTATTTAACATTGGGTTTATTTGACGGTCTATTGGCTAACATACGGTTATTTCAAGGATGGAAAAACCTGCACGCGTGCAAAGAATTTTCCTTGGCTGTTTCCACGCTGTTTTGTTTTGCTTCCTTTTGGTTTTGGGAAAACCTTTTAGCACCTTTGGCCAGCCGCAGCGAAAATCACAACAAGTTGCGCATCGGGATCTCAGCCTGGACCTGGCAATTGGGCATTGGGCATTGGGCATTGGGCTGATAAGCCGGGCCAAGTGGGCAAACAAAGCGTTTGCGCGTGCGCGGCAGGCAGCGTAGAGGGTGAGGCAGAGGCAGCGGGTAGAGGGTAGAGGGTAGAGGGAGAGGGAGCGACAGGGTCGGGGATAGCAACACCTACGGGCCAGCCCGGGGTTTCGCGGTTGCGTCTTAGGTTTGCTTTGGTTTTGGTTTTGGTTTCGGATCGGTTTGGTTAGGTTCGGTTAGGTTGGGTTGGATTGGATTGGGTTGGGTTCGTTTATGTGGTAGTCGCGGCCGAGGCGGCGTCTTCTCATCTACGCGGACGATAGTGCGACGTGGCTGCTTATCTGATCAGCGCGCAGGACACGCGTGTCCATGTGCCTGTGTGCGTCTGTATGCGTGTGTGTGTGCGTGTGAAGTGGAGATAACAAAGAGGTGATAATTGACCGCCCTATTGGCTTAGCAACCAATTACGAAGCTTATCAGCAGCGCGGCAATCAAATCAAACGCTCGTCGACGGGGCGGAGCAACGCCGGTGGTCCTACCCCCTACTCTCCGCTCACCTGAACTGATTGTGATAGGCATCGATCGGTGTTAACAAGGCCAACAACAACAACAACTCGCACCCATGGCCAAGTGTGAAATATGACCGGGCACAGATCGCATTCATATGCTAAATATACATTTTTATAGACTCCTGCCGTCCTATCAGTTGTTTGCCTGGTCAGCAGCGCCGAGCGTTTGACGCACTGTGTCCTGGTCGTGGGCATGCACGAGCAGTGCCACCTCCAGATTCAGTTGCGCAATGTCGTCCTTGAGCTTGACAATCGCCTTCTTTATCTGCTGAACGGAGCCTGCAAAGGAAACAATTTTAAGAGAATTACGTTAATATATATATAAATCTTGCAGAGAAATGTGTAGTTGGAGTATATGTCTGCGTTCTGTCTAGTTAATAAGGGATGTATTGCATACTTACTTCCATCTGACATAACCTGACCGCGTCGCTCCATTTCCTGTTTCTTGAGCTCCTGCTCGGCCATCACCTCGCTGAGCTGGGTCATTTGCTGCTCGGAGTCCGTTTGGAGCTGCGTCTGCGCGTACTGCACGGTGGATAGCTCAATGGAGAGCTCCTTGTATTGCTGGATGAGCTGCTGGAGCTCATTGTTCAAATGTTTCTCACGGCTCTCGATCTTCTCCAGGCTGAAGGTGAACTCGCTGTGCAGTTTCTTGAGCTGCGTCTGCGTGGACTCGGCCACATTGGCGATGCCCGTGTTGAGTGTCTCCATTTGGCTGATGTGCGTGCGCCAGTCGCGGGCATCCGCCTTGACAAACACCTTGAGCTGCTGCAGCACGCGCTCCAGCTCCAGACGCCACTCCTGATGATCACTGAGCCGGGCGTTCAGCTCGCGGCTTTGCTCGTCCGTGGCGCTGGCTGGCATATCGCCCATGGCACGCTTCTGCCGATTGAGCCAATTGAGCTGCTTGAAATTGTGCGCCTCCAGCTCGAGATCGCTGTCATCGCTGAGAGCGGCGGCGTTTTGCTCATCCTCCAGCTTCTCCAGTATGATTTCGGCATTGTCTTCCAAATAGTCGCCGACGAACTCCTCCTCCTGAACAATGTGCAGGCGCTGATAGTTCACATTGGTCACCTTCAGCGCCTGGGTGGCCAGAACGTCGAGCACCATGAGGCAAATGGGTCCGGCGCCACGTATGAGCTTGTTGGGCGCAAATTCCACGGGCACATCCTGCAATGATGAGGATGAGCTGGCTGTGCGCCGAAGAGAATCACATACTCACAATTTCCTCTAGTATTTGTATGATCTTGGCTATAACCGTATTGGGATCGTCGTGCTCCTGTGGCCGTTCCATGTCCTTGCCCAGTTTCTTGCACAGCCACCAGCAAATCAACGTAAACATGAAGAACTGCTCGCCCGGATTTGTGGCTTTGACAAAATAGAAACGCGACAAGGGCTTTAATTTGTATTCCCGCAGCAGATGCTTCTCATAGTTGAGCAATTTGAGCTTTTCCAGCAAATCATCCGATTGAAAATTTTGCAATTGCTGCGTTTTAGCCTCAGCATCTTCCTGCATTTTGTCGGCGTTTGAGTTTAATGTCTGAAAAAATTAAAAATGTTTGTTAGTTCAGTTGGTTTATCTCCATGACAACCGCAAAGGGCAAACTCAATGCAACGCGTGCGCTAAATATTCAGCTTTTGATGGTTTCACTTAGTGGTAAAACTTACTATATCAGCCCCTTTATTTATTTGCCACTTAAACTGCATATTGAATAATTTACAATTTACATTTTCACTTCATTCAAAAATTGCAATATTTAGCGCGCAATAATAACTCAACAGATGGCGCTATACAAATTTGCCATTCACACGCACTAAATAACAACTTACAACTATCGCTAAATATCGAAACGACACAGAAAGGCTGCTGAGTACTTGTGAGTTCTACGATAACGCTGCAGCACTTAACGACTGCATAGATAAAAATATTATCTGAAATTTTTGGCAAATTTTGTTATAGTTTGTATCTTTGGAAAATAGCATAATTAATTAATTTCATATCAGAACTGTACAGTCTAAACGCAGCTTAACTTATGGATATGCTATCAAATACTATCGATATAAATTGGCTTGCATCTGTGCGTAAGCGTCACTTTTGCACAATTAATTCAAAAATTCGACGCCCTATGAAAGAAAAAACGATCTCAGAATTGTCTTAAAAATGTACAACAACTTAGATTTAAGCGCTTTGAGCATCGAAGATATCGTCGAAGAGTACAAAATACTGCATGGACGCCATGAGCAACTAAAGCAGCTCCACCAACAGTTGAAGGAGCACAGCGAGGAGGATGCCCAGCGTCTACACGAGCTCAAGCGCAGCCTAGATACCTCGTTGGCAGCTGAGCGATATCTTACCCAGGAGCTGGAGCATCTAAGCGCACAGGCACAAGCTTCCTCCCCAAGCGACGAGCCACGCCTGCAGCAGGAATTGGAGGAACTGCGCCGGAAATACAGGAATCTACAACTGGAGCATGAAACCTTGCAACAGAATTACGATGCCAAGGTCGAGGAAACTGGCAGCCTTCAGGCAAAGCTGGAGAGTGCAGCACGCGACTTGGAAGCGAATGCCTTGCTGAAAGCCAACAGCGCAGACGACGAATTTATCGCTCGTTTAAACGCGTTGGAGCTGGAGAATGCTGAGCTAATGCAAAAGTTGGCCGAATACGACGATGCCAAAGTGAAAAATACTTTTGCTGTAGCAGAGCAGGAGGTAGGTCTAAAAATGGTATCAAGCTGCTGCTATAAGTTTATTCCACACACAGAAAACCATTGAGATATTCAAGGATAAAATTGACTGCCTGGAGCAGAATCTGCGCGGCAAGCGGGATGAGCTGGAGGAGAAGGTACAGCTGCTGGAAAGCGCGCAGGAGCAGCTAGTGGAAGCCAATGCCAAAATCGCTTTGCTCACGAGTGCACCAGAACACAATGGTTGATATACAACTTCCACATTAATTTTTAATCCTTGACCTAATCAGTTTATCGACACTTGCAGATCGCAAAGGTAATTCTCTGTTTGCCGAGGTGGACGATCAGCGGCAGGCCATGAAGCAATTGCTGGCTAGCCAAAAGAAGAGCTACTTGGACATGAAAAAGATATTCAATGAAAGCAAATATGAAATACACCGACTCAAGCGAGAGAACATTGCCATGCACACCGAGCTGCAAGCGTGCAGCACGATCTTCTGCAGCGCCGACAAGACCTATCAGAGTGAGCAACATTTCATGGTCGCTTTTAAGTTCCAACTTATGGTTGATTCACTTTGCAGATAAGCTCAATGAACGCATTCGCCATTTGATGCAGCAGAACGCCAAGCTGGAGCGCAATCTAAATGTATCGCAGGAGCGTCTGCGCGAGTTGGCCAGCGAGAAGTCGGTCACTTGGCTTGATTCCATATTGGACTTTTGCAAGTATGAGTTAGCCGAACGCTTGGGCCATGTAGTAGCAAAACTAGGCAATCAATTGCTCAGCTTTACCAGCTACAGATTGTTTTTGCTGTGATTGCCCTTTAGGTTAGGATGCGTTTAGATTTAGTTCACTTCATTCCCATCCCATTTAGACGCGAAACGGACGAGCTGAAGGCCCAACTGCATACCATGCACATCCAAAAGGCCACACTTGAGGAGCAGATGCGCAATGTGCAACAGGAAATGGCACGGTAAGTGCAAACAGTTTCAATTTCGAGCCGCTTTAATATTTGATTTTGTTTAACAGCTGGCGCTTTGAGTCCCTAAAGTCGCGCTGCGTGCTCATTGATCGCGAGAGCCTGCTGACGGAGCACAAGATTACCTTCAAGCCCATGCAGGCCATGGAGTTTGATATTAAGGAGGCCCAGCTACAAGCAGCCTTGCCGCGCATTGTCAGCGTCATGCCCACACCAACAGCTGTTGACAGTCCAGCTAACGTGACAACTCAATCCGAAATCATAGTCCTGGATACGCCGCTAAAACCGAGCGCGGTGTGCACCAATCTGCAAACTGAAGTCATCGTTTTGGACACTCCACTTAAGATTGATCAGCAGCAGGAATATCAGCCCGTCGTTAAAATTGAGCCGAACCCCGAGAAGCAACCAGCTTATCCCGCGGATGCACAGCAGCGGGCGGAGCACTTGCAAGTCAAAACTGAAACAGATGAGGTTGATACAAACGAGCCGCTGAATGCCGCTGCCAGCCCCATTAAGAAGGGCTCGCCAGTCAAGCCACATTTTGGACATATTAAAGTTAAAAGTGAACAGCAGCTGATGTCGCCTAAAGTAGAGCCTGACGAACTAGACCAAGCAGCTGACCAACTGGTGCCTGCAAAGCCCCAGCGCAAGGGCACTCCCGTCAAATTAAGCCAAATTAAAGCCGAACGTTTTGAGCACGAGCAGCAAGATGTGCCCACGCCCGTCAAACCACAGCGCAAGGGCACGCCAGTAAAGCCCAAAGAAGAACACATTGAAATGGACGGAATTTGTGAGGCCAAACCCCTGCGCAAGGGCACACCAGTTAGAGTTAAGACTAGTGCCGTGGACGTTGTGCTCCAACAGGAAGCAGCCGCCCACTGTCCTGTCCGCTCCATACTGACTAAAAGGCGCGATTTGTTTGCCGAGGATACACACAAGTATGTGCAATTTAGCAGCAATGAGCCCACCGTACACAATCTGAGCCAGGACCAATGCAGTCCGGCCCTGGGCAACAAGGAGAACGCACAGCCTGTTATCCAGGACATAAAGCCACCCAAAAAGTCGCAGAACATTATACGCCGTATTGTTGTGTCATCCAAAAAGCCAGCTAGCTCCTAAAGTATAAAACTGATGCATGTATAGATAAAAAGATTTTAATTAAATTTAAGACTTAGCGATAAATTACACACCAAACAACAACGAGACATACAAACTTAATAATTCTTGCCAGCCTCAAGCACAGCAAGCGAAGAGATTTTCATGTGGATATTTTTTTCACCAGCTGTCACGATATATACTTTGTATACCTGAAACGATAATTTTTTATATAGTAATTGAGTAATTGAAATAATATTTGTTTGTGACAGCAAAAATATTTAATTCAGATGAAAATATAATTCACATTAAAGACAACTAAGAAGAAGATTAAATAACCTTATAGATTTCAACTCATATATTTTTTTATTCCTGATCGATTTTTGATATTAAAGACAGATGTTAGTCCAATGTAAAACGGTCTTGCAGACAGGCTAATTGTTCAGTTTGGAAAAAAGTATCTTACAAAACAAAGAAGCATATTAAACAAAAACTAATTCAACTGCTTCTTCCAATAGAGATATATAATATAGAAGTAACACATTAAATCTTATTTATATTCTTGGTTCTATAATCAATATATGCTTCAATAGCTGAGGCCAAGAAGTAATACTTAACAGAGGTTCCCAAAAAAGCCACTTGTGGCATATTTATATGAAGGCTCATGCCTTATACTCTAAATTCTTTATATTATATTTAAATCATAGCTTTTATAGTATCTGAGATTAACATGTTTTTTGCCCTGTTCAAGAGTTTATATGCCTTACGGAAAAGATGCCTCCCCCTATCTGTTACATACATTTATGACACCTCATGAAACCCCTTTAAAATATTCTATATTCATAGAAGGCTACTGAACCTTGGCAATTAAAACGCACAAGAGATACAAAGCAACGATTTTGTACATGTGAATCACATCCGATTAGATCATCTAGAAGTTTGAACAGTCGCCAATGTTGTACTGATAGCAATAATACAAGTTCTTTGTATAAATCACTTCATACCCTGTATCCATTGTAATTTGTTAAAAAAAAGGGTATTATGGTCTTGTGCAAATGCTTGTAACAGGCAGAAGAAGGCATCCATAAAGTAAACATATGTTCCACGAAATCGATAAATATCGATTTTTATTTTATATATTTAAATATCTTTGGGCTTATTAAACCTAGGTTTTGGTATGTAGATGCTGCTACAGCAAACACATAGTCAGATTCTTTTACTTTTTAGAAAATCCCTTCCCTTCCTTCTATCAAAAACTGATATAATCGATAAATATCGATTTTGATATTTTAAAATATCTTGGGATTTATTAAGCCTAGGCTTTGTTATGTAGATGCTGGTACAGTAAATACAGAAACACTTGCCCCCTTTCGATCAAAACCCCAAATAAGGTAATTCTTTAAGAACTTTGGCAGTTATCTAAGATTTCATTTCCCATGTGTGGTGTTAAATGAAGAAACACAGTATGTACATGTTACGGTAGCTTAGTGCTGGGTACAGGGTATCTCCCAGTCTTCATACATATCTATGTTTTGCTTACCTGATGACAACTGCTAGACCTCCAGTGGCTTCTCGTCCAAGGGTTCATAGATGGGCGCCGTGGCGGCGGGAATTTCATCAAGTGTTTTATCCGTTTCGTCTCCTTCGGCCAGCTCCTTGATCTCTGTGTACAGCTGGTAGGGCAGCTCCGTGGGCATTACCTCATAGGTGACGTGATGGGTACGGGAGCATGCGGACTGCCTGTGTCCGGCGCAGTTGCAGATGGAGGCGGCGCCACTTAGCGGCGTCTCATAGCCATCGGCCTGTGGCTCCACCTCCAGAGCCATGCTGGCAGAGCTATTGCCATTGGCAATGGGATAGCGCACGATGTCTATGTGATCCACAAAGCGATGGCTGCGGGCAGACTTGCTGTCGCCAAAGCAAGGCAGTCCGCTTGAGTAGTAGGACCAGTGGAACAGGCGCTCGCAGTGCAGGTAGAGGTACAGCAGCAGGAAGAGCAGCGCAATGCCCAGGGGCAGCATGAAGACTATAATGAGCGCCTCCGCGCGTTGACTGCGCGACTGCTGGATGGGATTGCCATAGAGCACCGTATGGCTGGAGACATTCAGGTGGGCATTACGCGTGGACCAATTGTCCTGGGCCAATTGTGGACTGCTGCCAAGCGAGCTGGTGGTAACTGATGGCTCCATCGCTGGATCCTCCGGCTTTGGCCTGCAGCTCAGGCCATTCACATTGATCTGGGATATGTATTTGGCGTAGCGGAACAGGCGAAACAACTGCGGCTGGGCATGTGAAAAGTTGAGCAGCCACTGACAGCTCCAGGGATTGTCATCGATTTGTATGCGCAGCTGTTGCGCCTGGTCCCAGGCAGCATGCTCCGTGTCCTCCAGGCGCAGCAGCTGATTGGAGCTCAAGTCCAGCTGAACCAGCTGGAGCGTGGCCAGCTGCAGCAGCTGCTGCCAGGAGACCCTGTGCAATTGATTGGCCTGCAGATGCAGCGCTTGCAGCTGACTCAGCTGGGCGAACCAGCTGCTGTTCAAGCTGCTCAAATGATTCCCGCTCAGATCCAAGCTGACCAGCGAGCTGTTCGGCAGTTGCAGCTGCCGCAAGGCATTGCCGCTTAGATTAAGATGCAGCAGCCGGATCGCCATCGACGACTCCAAGGAAAAGCCACTCAGCTCGCACTGCACCAGGCTGAGATTGACCAGCAGCTCGCTGCCATTGAGCAGCCGCAGCTGGCGCGGCTCTATGGGCGTTTCTTGCACCAGCAGTTCGGTGAGCAGCCCGGGCAGCGCCGCCAGGAAGGCGCCCGAGACGAGCTTCAGCCGTGTCAGCTCCAGCCGCTGCAGCTGCCACAGCTGGCCCAGAACGTGCGGCTGCTGCAGCGCCAGCTGCCGCTCCCGCCGTATAACCAACTGCTGCAGCTCGCCGCAGCCCCGGAGCGTTTCAAACAGCCGCAGCGCATTGTCCTCCAGCAGCAGCAGCTGCATGTGCGGCACCAGCTCAAAACTGTGGCCGCTGAGCGTGCCCAGCTCGTTGTGGCGCAGCGCGACCGCACGCACATGCTCCAGCGGAACGCCGGCGCCGCAGCACAGCGCCAGGCTGGCGTCGGTAACAAAACGCTCGAGCTCAATGCTCTGCAGCTGCGCACAGTTGTCCAGATACTCGAGACCGTAGCTGGCTACGCCCAGCGGCGGCGTCTGGCTGCCATTTAGCCGCACGTGCAACTTGCCCGCCACGCGCTGCGGGCCCAGATCGAAGGCTGCAGTCGAGCTGCTGCCATTGCCAGTGCAATCGATGTCCAGCGGCAGACCAAAGTCCGCATCGCTGCGCTGCTCCGGCGCTGTGACATAGAGTGTGGCGCGGACCAGGCACAACCCATCGGCATCCGCATCGCCAGCGGCAGTTGAATGAAAGTGCGTCAGCAGCAGCAGCAGCAGCAACACGTAGCTGCCTCTAAAGGTGTTGCTGCTGGTGCAGTGCGTCATCGGGCTGGTGGCATGCCAGCGGATCAGTGAAGCGTGGCGCATCTTTGTTGTTTAGCAGCCGCTCGCGACGCGTGCGAAAACTCAACTGTGCTGGTAAAAACGGGAAAAGCGGAAAAGCTTCGGCGTCGCACCTTTGGCTCTGCTCAGTAAGAGCGCGCCAGGTCAGCGGCAATGCCCCCCTCCGCGCCGTCGCCATTGCCCCCGGCTGTGCTCATGTTAATATTGAAAACATGCTGATTTCTCAGTTGTTCAGTTTCGGGTATATATTTAGCCATTCCGTTGATGCTCTCCGACAGTGCTTCCTATATAAGTTCCACACACACACACACACTGCGCACTTCTTACACAGCTGTCAACATTGTGCCTCGCCCTGCCCCCCTCCGTACAACCCGTCGCACTTTTCGCACAGAGCCCACTCAGAATCATGCGTCCAAAGTGGCTGTGGAAATTGTTTATATATATACCTACTCTATATATATACGGAACTGTGGGAGCGTGTGTATCTGAAGAATCGTATGCGATTTCTGTCCAGCAACAATCAGCTGTGTGGCGAGAGTTCTCGAGAATCTGTGAATTGTTTACACACAGCATTTGAGTTTATATATTTACAAATTTAATTTTGATTACTAATCATCGGTTGGGCACTTGGCATCTGGCATGAGATCAGAGTTGGAACCCTTGAAAATGTTGTGCGAAGGACAGCTTTGGATACAATAATTGAAATGATCTTCAAGATTTCTACGCACATCATTTTCAAGGATTTTTTGTTTTATTTAAACTGTTAAATTAATTCAAGAGTTTTCCTAAATTCGTACGAATTGAACCGTTTAGTATGGCCTAGTTGTTTAGCTCCTTTCTTATATAAATATCAAATGAAACAAAAGTACATTTTAATCGCTTTATTTGTGAGACAACTCGAATTCACAGTTCCGCTTGCTTATAATTTAATAGTTATAGTTCTACTAACTTTTAGTTTGCCTCGCTAGTTAGTTAATACAACAAAATAAATATGTATTTTTATTCCCTGTCATGAACCGATTTATATAAATATATAAATAATTCCCCACTCACTTCAACATTAACAAATCGATCGGAAAATTTAAAATGTTAAATAGTCTCTACTTAATAAATACTTGTTCAAGTGTGTTCTTCTTTAATCATAAACATAAATACCTCGACGACTGAAGTTGATGAAGAAGCTTTGCATTAGTACCATGATTTTCTGGCTTACATACGCCTTTATATATAAAATGCGTTGGAAGTGGAAACGTGGGAAATTCCACCCGCAATTGTGGAAAAATCGCGAAAAAATGTTTCATTTGAGACGTGTTTTTGTAAATTGGCGGAAATGTGTCTTAATCATTTCAGTTTCAAAATCATTTAACATTCTCAGTGAAATTTAATTTGATAATTTTTTAAAGAACTTAGAACTTTTATTTAAAGAACTTAGTTTGGAAATCGTTTTGTATAGCATCGGATTTGACTCAAACTCATTTTCGAAAATCATTGTGAATATTTATTCGCAAAATCCACCACAAAACTAAGATGAATGAAAGACATTGATTCAAACTTTTGGTTCTTTATTCTATGCATTCAATATACTTTTTAATCACTTTATTATAAATCTTGTACCGAACTGCGAACGCATTAGAATCTAAAACTCAAGTCTTCCATTTTCTATTTTTAATCCACGTACGGCACAAATTACACTCTTCCGGCGAATCGAAGCGATTTTCGATCTTTGCTGAGCTACAACCGCCCCAAACAAACGGATGGCAGGCGTTTAAACTAGAAAGGAAGCTGTATTTTATACGATACTTGTTGCACCTGCCCTTTACCGCATTCGGAAAATAACAACGTTCTTGAAGTAAATGAGAAAGTTACGAAATTGATTAGCTAGCTAATGTCACTTACCATCTAAATGTAGTATCTCGGCAAGGCAAATATTGCTGCAAACTAGGAAAATAAATGCAGCGAACTTCATGTTATGCCTTTATAATATTGCTTTAGTAACTGCCCAGATCTCGCAATATTTTGTCATGAGCTTAATGTCATTACATTAGTTTTGCACGCTTCCAGACTTAATAGCCCTGAAATCGTATTACCCTACTTTACATAGTATACTATGCCATAGATAAATATATGTTTATATATAAATATAAGATTTGCTAATAGGAGGACTAGTTCTGATCCGACCTTAACTTAAATATGTGCCTACTTTCATTAAGGGACTCTCGAGTGAAACTAATGAAGAAATTTACCAAAAAAAAAAATCTGTTTAATATAATTTCTTATCCGATATGGCTTCCCAGAGTATATGATGTCAGATCTTTTCAAGATTTATATTATAAAATGGAAAGGAAGTAAAAAAAAAAAAACTGGAAGTGCGCTCGAAATAGTATCTGTACTTTGTGGAATACAATATTATGGATATTTAATTATAAATTGTGTACAATATTATGGATTTTAAATTTGATTTCTTCAAATCATAAAATATGGCCAGCTTCTTCAGTCTGCACCAAACTTTAATGTTGAATAGCTTAGCCGCTTTTTGTCCGATCTACGTGAAATGTAAATGGCATAAATATGGCAATTCCTGCGTAGATACCAGGTCGCAAGGCTCTACCTTTTTCAACTGGGGGAGGTATCCAAAAAGTGAAAACTTCCTTCCAAATCGAGTGTGTCTAGTTCGTAATATTTTTGAAATTCCTTCAACCTAGATCGACATATAGAAACAGACGGACAAGGCTAATTGAACTCAGCTCCAGTCCTGATCAGGTATTTGTGCACTTTATGAGTTCGGAGATGCCTTAATTTTTCGGTTACATGCCTTTGCACAAAATCCATATACCCTTTTTGATTCAATTTCAATTATTATTGTAAATAAAATGAGTTATAGCAAGAAACTATTGAAAACCATTTAAATCGCACTGTCTACCATGAGCCCTATATAACACTATGGCTAGATACTATCCTGAGATTTGGAACAGAATCCTATCTTTTCCCACTTAGCCAACATTATCTAACAAGAACTGCAGCTAGTTAACAATTACTGTGAATAAGACAAATATGAGATTTGTAAAAATAAAATCATGATTAATTTGCAACACAATTTATAAACGAAAATTTGATTAAAATCAATAGAAACAACACAGATGAAAATCAATGGGATGGACTAACAATTGCCGCGACAGTCTGCAAATGTAGCGTGCAAGCAACTTGATGATATGGCCCAGAAATCAGTGAACTATACAGATCACGTTTAGCTGACCCTGGCCATATCCTCAAGTTGCTTGAACCGCTTTATAGAGACGGTGCCTGACGGTGACTGATCCTTAGGCTCTGCTCTTAAGCGTGCGTGGAGTACTCAGCCGTGTCACGCAAGGGCTGGACGGCTGGCTCTGTTGGCTGGCCCGCATTACGTTCTGCTCGCTGCTGGGACAGGAGCGCTGGGGGCTGGAGCTGCTGCTGCCCGGTGCACAGCCTGAGCCGAGTGCGCTGCCGGCAGAGTTTCCCGATGTCATGGTGTAAATGTGGCGGCGCAGCACGCGTATGTGCTTCTGGGAGACCTCGAAGTTGTGGACCAGCGTGTGCAGCTGGGTCTGCAGCTCGGCAATAAGGCTGTCGCGCTCTTGGATGAGGCTCGATGTGGAGTTTTGGCTGCGGCTTAGCTTCAGCTCCAGATCAAAGATGCGCTTCTGCAGCTCCCGGCGCTGTTTCTCTGTTTGCTCGCGATGCCGCGACAGCTGCCGCTTGCCGACTGCCTGCAGCGAGTCCAGCTGCAATTTCGAGGTGGATAACTCCTCGGCGAGGCGGCGCTTTTCCGTTTTGAGCGCCGCATTATAGTTTTTAAAAATCTTTAGATCCCGTTCCGCTGCCTTGAGGCGATTGACCGTGATCAGTTTGCGTTTGCCCAGCTCATCGATCTTGCACTTCAGCTGTGCGGCCTCCTTCTGGAGGGCGTGCAGCTTCTCGGCCATGAGACAGTTCTCGCGCAGCACCTTCTCATATTTGGTGTGCTCCTCGCGCATCAGATGCGGCAGCTGGGCGACGCTCTTCAGCTTGCTGTCGATCTTGGACCGCAAAGTATCGATGTCGTGATAGATGCTCGACTCCAGCTGCTTGTTGTTCACCTGCAGCTTGTCGATCTCATGCTTTTGCGTCTTCATGATCTCCTGCGCCTTCACGCAGCGCGTGTGATAGTCGGTGATGCGATCCTGCTGATGGCGTATGATGTTACGGAACTGCACCTGCTCGGTCTTCAGATCCTTGATGGTCGTGTACAGCTGATTGAACTCGCCGCTGTCGCGCTCGTAGCTGTACTTTGGCTTGTGATCCTGCTGCAGCTGCTGCAGCTGCTGCTGCTGCTGCTGTTGCTGCTGTTGCGTGTTCATCACATCCTTGAGCACATGGTACATTTGCTTGAACGAGTTCGGCTCATTCTCCTGCTCCTCCAGATGGTCGGAGGGTGCCCGCAGGGCACGTCGTGTATGCCGACTGGACACGATATGCTGGCCATATCCACCAACCTCCACCTGGGCGGTCAGATTATGCCTGATCTTGGGCTGCCTCAGCTCCTGGCGCTTCTGCCGCGTCGTCAGCTCCTCGCAGGAACTGGGTGCAGCCAGCACCGTCATGAAGCTCGTATTGCTGCGAAATACCTTGGTGCTCTTGTGCTTGACCGTCAGCTCCGATCCGATGCTGCTGTCCGAGGGGCAATAGCTGTCGAGTACGTTTCCATCGGCATCCGCATCCGCTTCGCTGGCCAGCTCCGAATCGGGACTCTGGCTGCGCCGGCCGACAAAATGATCGTGCTTCTGTTGCATTTCGCTCAGCTCATAGTTGATCTTCATGTACTTTTTCTCCAGATCCTTGGTGGTCTCGTTGTACTCCTTGAGCTCCTGCTTGTACTTGGAGAGCTCATGCTTCAGCTTGGCACCCATCTCATCGCCCTGCGAGGTGATCCGCCTTTTCGGCGTGCACGCCTGCTGCTCCTCCTCGTCGTCGTCAACGGAGCCGAACTGTTCGCCGTCGCTGAGCGTCAGCTCGTCATCCTCTTCGGTACAGTTGTTGCTGATGCTGTTGTTGTTGACGTCGCTTGAAGGTGGACCTTTGGAGATAACGGCCAGCGGCAAGGATGACCGCTGGTGAATGCTTATATAGCTGTTCTGCGCCAAAGTCTTGACACTGTTTCCGCTCGTGTTATCCCCCTCCGATTGCTTCCCCATTGACACGGCCCGCTCTTGGCCGTCTGGGGACACTTCTCTCGACGTGGGTTCGGTATTCGATTTGTAGGCGGCCGGAATTAACATTTACAAAAATTTTGCGTATAGTTCTAATGCACTTCCGTAATTTTTGTCCTGTTTTTTTTACCAACAGATAATTTTAAAAGGAAAGTTTCACATTCGTTTACCAAAAGTAATAATTAGTTCGACATGGAACAATTCGAAATTATCATCAACAAAATTTCGTTTAATGCCTACTAAACTATAGAATTCGGAAGATATTCCAAAAATGTTACCAAGAAGAACCGACATAATTACAGCTGCAATGTTATGCCATGCTATGTTATGCCATTATGTTAAGTCTTACCTACTGTCCTTGTCTTTCCACATCTTAGCATCAGCACACTTTGCTATATCTAGTCACAAAAATTATATTTCATATTCTTCTATTATATAGCTTTGCTCTATATATTATTTATATCATATCATCGGTTCGGTTTTTATACCTTTCTACAGAGCATTAATATTTTGTAATGCACCGAAGAAAATATCTCTTAAGCACACATTATATATACATATATCTGAATTTATTTAGCCTTCCCAGCCTTTCTGTGAACTTACCCTAAGATCTAAACTGTCAACACTTTTCTAGAATAGGTATACATGCATACATACTCTGCAGGTGGTACAAAATTCGGAGACAGTCGCATCAAACAACATATCTCAAATAATTTGAAAATTAAGTACTTGTTAAGCCAAAGAAGTTTTTGCTGGTTCGGTTCACTGCTTGAACCAGCATCTTTTCTTCGAGCCATGGTTCGCTGAAAATTTGTTTTTAAATCAATTTTTGCTAAATCTCGTTCAAAGCCTGCTCGGTGCAAACTTCTTGCATGATCTTTTGGATCTAAAAGTATTCGAATAAACAAAGCAAACACGAGCTTGACCATCATAAAATCTTTTCAATATCGGGTTAATACTAAAAAGCCGAGGTTAGCTCTCCCTCGATTCACTTAGACTACCAGCGATCAGAGACAAAAAAAAAAAAACGATATGGGGATGAAGTCTAAGAAAAGTTAAGGGCTTTTTTGGCGAGATCTAATAGATCTAAAAGAAAATAACAACCAAAACAAGGGCATTTAGTTGTTTTATTATTTTGAATTGCGAAAATATCTGTGCGCTGTTGCTATTGAAGATCTAACAAGAAATGGAAGATATGGGCGACTTATTCTTATGTTTGACACGTACATGCACGAATATATATTTTCAGTTTCAAATTTTGTGCTTCACAGGCAACGAACAATTTTGATTGATGTGAACAGACTCTTTTATCGGAGGATTAAATAATATTTAATTTAAAAGCCCATTATTGCTGTGATGGTGATATTCTGAGATTTCCAAAATGGGAAACGTCAAAATGCCTTCTATTTTGTCTTCGGGCAGAAGGCGTATCGAAGCAGGCCATGGCCCATAGATTTGGAAGAGCAGAAAACTTGACGGAAAATTTTCAGTTCATTTTAGTTGTTAAAAACAACACAACAACCTTAAAATTTTATAGTAATCACTTCCAGAATATATTGACAAAATTTTGAGATTATGCTTTAAAATTACAAGTGATTGGAGTTAATATAAAAAAGAAACCGTCCAAAAACCATTAAACGTTGCCACACAAGGAAAGGGGGAACATCTTTCTCCTTATTTTTAGACTTGTAAATTAATAATCAATATGGCTGAAAACGAGGGAGGTGCGGAGGAGCAGGATTATGAGGAGGAGGATGCCGCAATGGCCGCCATGGATGAGGGCGGCATGGAGGAGGGCATTGAGGATGATTTATTCTCGCGCCTGGGCGAATCCTCCGATGATCCGGAACAGAAGCGTATGTATATGGAGTATTTAGCATTGATCAAGGAGATCGACTGCCAAAACAGGATAATACAGGACATTAAGACACAGGTAATGGACATGTGCGGCAGGCCGTGCAAGACGCGCAACGAGCTGCGCGAAATCAAGCGCCTGCGCATCTGCATGGAGCAGGAGAACATCAAGCTGCACACCATGATGAACCGGGCGGTGCAGCTGCAGAACTTTGGTTCGCATCGCCATTATCGCGAATTGAATTTGACCACCACCGTCGACGAGGATAACATATCGCCATATTGTGTGGGACCCTGTGGCACTACTCTAGGCAGTGGCGCCACCGCCACAGATTGCAGCGAGGAGGCTCCCTCCAGCTGCTGCCAAGTGGAGGGCCAGGAGGATCGCCTCATTAAGGCGCTAAGCAAGGCTATGCAGAAAATGAAGGGCGCCTGCCCGGAGGACATGAAAATGATGCAGGAAATCGCCTGCGCCATTATGGCCTCCAAGTCCAAGCCAAAGCAAGTCTGCAATCCGGGACCGTGCGCGAAAACGCCCTCGCCCTGCGCCGAGAGCAGCAGCAGCATTGCTGGACCTTGTCCGCCGTGTCCGCCGCCCTCGTGTAGGCCATCGAAACGCTCACGTCCACATCCGGAGCCATGCTGCCCACCACCATGCCCGCCGCCCTGCTCGCCACCTTGTCCGGCGCCATGCAACAAAAGCGAATCGCTGGACAAGCTGAAGCGTCGCATTGTGGGCATGCAGTGCTCCGTGAAGAAGCTGCTCAACGAGGTTAGCCGGCGCGAGACGCAGGAGCCCGCTTCGTGCCCCTATGACGATGATGATGATGATGATGACGATGATGATCAATGCGGCTCACCCTGCCCGCCGCGGCCATGTCCCGAGGATCCCGATCCGCTGGTCATCTGCGGTGGCAAACGCAACACCAAAGCAGATATGTACGAGAAAATGAAGGAGAACTACGCCCGACTACTCACCCAGTTCCAGCGTAAGGATTGCCAGATGAAGGAGCTGGAGAAAAGGTATGGAGTCTGATCCTCAACTCAAAATCTCTTCTATTAACTTTCCTCTCATTTCCTTAACTTAGAATGAAGGGCTTCATTGGCGGCTGTGGCCCGTCCAAAGGGACTTCGGATGCAGATGCTGCGGAACTGAATCTGCTGCGCGCACGCGTCAACGAACTGAAGGAGGAACAGCTGGAGTTCAAGTGCATTATGAAGGAACAGTCGCAGCAGTTGGAGGATTATCGCAACAAGTACATGCTGGCGCAGCAGAAGGTCGAGGAGCAGTGCGTGTCTCTGGACAAGTTGAACATGAACAACAAGCGCATTGAGCAGCAGATCAACACGGAGGTTAAGGAGATACGCTCCAAGTTCCAGGAGAAGCTCAACGAGCTGCTCCACTTTCCCAAGCTGCTTGAGAACGAGCAGCTGAAGTTGGCGCAGGTCTGCAAGGAGAAGGATGATCTGCAGAGCAAGCTGGTGGTCGTCTGCAAAGAGCTCAAGTCCTGCAAGGTACAGCTGGAGAATCCCACACCAGATTTAAGTCCACAGCTGGCCCAGTGCCAGCTTGATCTAACCCAAGCGCGCAATGAGATCGAAGAGCTGCTGCGCCAGCGGGATCTCTTCTGCGAACAGCTAAAGACCACACAGGACGATCTGGACACGCTGCGCACCGAGTCTGCCAAGATTATAGCTGGTACCAAGGAGCGCGCCGAAATGATCAAAGCCCAGCAGCAGGAACAAATCAATCGCCTTGAAAAGGAGCTCGCCCAATGCCGTGCCACAGCCTCTCTGTCGGTCAACGATCGCGAGGCTGTCATTCGCGAGATGCAGGGCCAGCTCAACACGCTCTCCTACAGCTTCGATGCGGCCCAGAAACAAATCAAAACGCTCCGCAATCACATTGCCTACGTCTCCAATGAGAACTGCTTCCCTGTCAAGTGTTAGCCGGCCCCAAGCCAAACAGTGTCCAAAATCCAAGCCAACTGTTGCCCCATCGTGGTTCAAGTTTTGTGTGTGTCAATGATCGCTGCCAGATGTCCAAATGGAATCCAATGTTTGTCTCTGAAATGTACAAAACGCAAGGATGTTGCTTCGGTTGCTTATTTTATCAAAATTTCTTACACCCACTTTTGGTTCACTATGAATCTCTTGTGGTTGTACAGGATTAGTCGATTTACTAAATTTTTCATACTTTTCTCAATAATAAAAATCGGTGCAAACACAGTTTCTTTTCAATTTTCCCGATTGACGCGATCGTCTTAATAAGAACCTCATTTTGTACTGCTGCCGGCAGTACAAAGTTCAAAAACAATCAGGTCAGTAGAACTTATCATATGGCAAAGCTACACCTAAACCGGTTAAAAAGGTTAAAAGCAAACTTTCTTTTTTGGCGCTCAATAGGAAACACAAATACTTTATTGCTTTGATGTGGCATTTGAGGAATAACCGCTAATAGTTGTGGGGACGAGCGAGCACAAATAGATGGCACAACAGGGCGCAATAATTTTTAAAGCGATTTGACTGCCAGGCGCTTCATTTTGGGCGCGTTCTTTTTGGCCTGACGCTTCTGTTCCTTGAGTTCCCAGCGGCGTTGCTTCTCGGGATCTTCCTCGGCGAGCACGCGCTCCTTCTCCTGTTTGCGCTTATCCTCGCGACGCTGAGCGGCTGCCTCGGCACGTGCGGCATGAGTGCTCTTCAGGAACTCCTCCTCGACGCGTAGACGATTCTTGTCCGCCTTAGCTTTGGCCTGCAAAAAAAGATAAAATGGTTAACATGTTTTTTTTTTTGACAAGATGAGGGTTAGATTATGGGATAGTTTACCTCCTTGGACATGCGATAGGTCTTCAAGCGTTCCATTAGATAAAAGATCAACAATAACAAGGGTTTTATGGTCTCCATTTCGGCATGTTTTGGCAGATTGAAACCGGCCAGCAGCACAGGCCTTGTCTCCGGCTGCTTCAGCGTACTGCCCTCCTCCTGCTGGACCTGGCCGCTGAATTGATCCGAGATGTGCAGGTAATCGATATAGCTTTGGTATTTGTTAAGTGCGGTAATAACACGTGACTCGAGTATGGCGGATGTGGCTTCCGGTATTTCCGAAAGGACGCCAAAGCCGCTGGGCACATTGTAGCGATCCTCCGGCTTGGCAACTAAACTACAAAACTTGGTCTGCAAAAGAAGTCGGAATTAAAAACTTCAAACTGTCTTTGTAATGCGAGTTAAGCCCTTACCAAATCTGTGTACTCCTTGAACACCTTGGATATGGTCTTTTTGCTACCGACTGCAAATACGAATGAATCCATTAGGCCACGTGTCAATTCGATTTTGATGTGCGCCTGATCCAACTGGGGTCGCATCAGACCAGCGACAAGCGAAACCAAATCCTGTCGCTTAATCATTTTCAGCTCCACCAACATGCCCTCGCAGCAGGTGCGACCGGAGCACCAAAGAGTGTACAGGCTCTCGCTCTCCTTGATCAGACCCGGATTCTCGTTCTCAACCTTGCCATCGTCGCCGACCAGGGCAAAGTTCTCGTCGAGCAGTGCTTTGTGTGTGCTAAACCAGAGCTGAGCCAAACGAGCATTCTTTGTCTTGCCCGCGAAAAAGTTGGCAAAGTAGGCCAAGAGGCCGGCCACCATAAGCATTTCCATCCAATAGGAGTCCCAGTGAGTGCGGAAATGTAATGGTATATTCGGTATCTTCAGCTTGGGCTCGGTCTTCTGATCAATGGGCGGTTCCATGGTGTCGCCAGCGTCGTAACCCTCAAACTCCTCTTCATCCTGGAAGTGCTCAAACTCGTCGTCATTCTCAACGAGCCCGTCCTCCTCCTCGTCGCTGTTGACTGTGTATTTCTTGGGCACTTCCAAGCGTTCCCTGCTAAAGCTGTCTCCGCCCGCACCCCTGGATGAGTCGGCATTCTCTGCGGTCTCTGTGTCGTAGCTAGCTTCCACAAAGTCATCGTCGAACTCCGCAAAATCATTGTCAGTTTCATCTTCGGCGTCGGGGCTAAGGTTCGCGTTGTTCAGTTGACAGGCGCACAGAAGCGACAGCAACAGAAATGCAAACACTGGTCGCATTTTCTGATATAAATACTCCAAAAAAAATAACGTAATTCAGCTAATATTAACCTAAATCTAAAACTTTTCACCTAATAAAAAAAGTAGGTTAAGTGGACTGAAAATATCGATATGACAATTTAATCGCAACTCGATAGTAAAAAACCATCAATTTAGAAATTATGGAATCGTTGAAGAACTGTTGGCAAACAGTTGAGTGTGTTGAGCATAGAGTGAGAGCGCGCTATTTTAATTTTGAATAATGGCACAAATATATCAGTTAAATTGTTCACATTAAATACGACGTGGCATATCCAATAGAACACAAGGCAAATCAAATTTTCTTTTCTGGCATTTTCGTAATGTGCTTTGTCCAAATAATCTACATATGTTTTCGTTTTCACCTCTAAATATCGATAACAGTTGCCCGTCAATTCCGATAGCCCGAACGATAACCAACCTTTTAGTCGCCGCTGCGAGGTAAACACGTTGCAAATTGCAATTTGTTGACTGTTAAAACTTATTTAGCTGAATATTAAGTTAACTAAAAGTCTGTTGCACAGCGAACAGTGCAAAATGGTGAGTGAATAAATTTGAAATAATAACCGGCATCGCAAGTTTGCGGTATGTTGATTTAACAAAATCTGCAATTGCTAAATCCGCAAAACTGATGCAATATTTACTTAGAATGAGAATCAAAAACGAAATAATGCAAATTTTTATTCATGCATGACGCAAACAGGCGAATGTGGAGCGTAAAGGCACCTTCAAGGTGGAATACCTGCAGAAAATCGAGCTCGAAGTGCAACAGCGCTGGGAGGCGGAGCGCGTGCACGAAACGGATGCCCCGACGGCGCCCAAAAAGCGGCAGGCGGAAAAGTTCTTCGTCACATTTCCGTTTCCGTATATGAATGGACGTTTGCACTTGGGCCACACATTCTCAATGTCGAAGGCAGAGTTTGCGGTACGATACCAGCGTCTCAAGGGCCGCCGTGTGCTCTGGCCCTTCGGATTCCATTGCACTGGTATGCCAATTAAGGCGTGCGCAGATAAGCTGGCCCGCGAGCTGGAAATGTTTGGTTATCCGCCAAATTTTCCGGACACACAGAACGTAGCGCCGGTCGTTGAGGAGACCCAGTCCGAGGTGCCCAAGGACAAGTCCAAGGGTAAGAAGAGCAAAGCCGTGGCCAAAACGGGTACTGCCATGTACCAATGGCAGATCATGCAAAGCCTGGGCCTGCAGGATGAGGAAATCAAGCAGTTTGCCAATGCTGAGTACTGGCTCAACTACTTTCCACCTCTGGCGGTGCAGGATCTGAAGCGCATCGGTGCCCATATCGACTGGCGACGCACGTTCATAACCACAGATGCCAATCCCTACTTTGACTCGTTTGTACGCTGGCAGTTCAACCATTTGAAGCAGCGCGGCAAGATCATGTATGGCAAGCGCTATACAATTTATTCGCCCAAGGACGGACAACCCTGCATGGATCATGATCGTTCCACCGGCGAGGGTGTCGGTCCGCAAGAATACACGCTTATCAAGATGAAGGTGCTGCAGACGCCCAAGGCCTTAAGGTATGCAATTATCTTCGACTATGAAAGAACGCAAGACAATAACATTCGTCCATAGTGCCATCAAGCAGCCCATTTACTTCGTGGCAGCGACTCTGCGTCCGGAGACCATGTACGGCCAAACCAATTGCTGGCTACATCCAGACATTAAGTACATTGCCTGGCAGAGCACGCGCGATAACGAGGTGTGGATAAGCACACGTCGTGCCGCACGCAACATGGCCTATCAGGGATTCACTGCCGAAGAGGGCAATATCGTTGTGCTGGCCGAAGTGACGGGTCTGGAGCTGTTGGGTGTGCCGCTGTCGTCGCCGCTGACAAAGCACAAGACAATTTACACACTGCCCATGCTGAGCATTAAGGCGGACAAGGGAACGGGCGTGGTGACCTCCGTGCCATCGGATTCGCCCGATGACTACGCTGCGCTGGTGGACTTGCAGAAAAAAGAGGCATTCCGTCAAAAGTACGGACTGAAGGATGAGATGGTGTTGCCATATGAGCCCATACCCATCATCGAAGTGCCCACGCTGGGCAAGCTCGTTGCTGTGCATGCCTACGACACGCTGAAGATTCAGTCGCAGAATGACAAGGATAAACTGGCCGAGGCCAAGGCGCTTTGCTATCTGAAGAGTAAGTATTCTTATTAAATGTTCTTAAAAAACTAATAGATTTAACAAAGTTACTTAAAAGTAAATTAATATTGTGGATTCACGTAGTAACTGGCGTTTTCCACCTTTATTTTTTTGCGCATTGTTTTTCAACTTTTTCATATCCTGAAATTTTCGACACTAATTTTCCACGAAATTGGTTTTTCTCAGCTACTTCAAGCATATATATATAAAATGAGTTTGAAACCAATTTGATGTACAAAATAAGCTTTTTGCAAAGTAGTACCACCCATTTTTCACTTTTGCTGTTTCATTTCTTATAGACATTATAAGCAATAATTAATAGAAATAACCAATCTGCAATATATAATTTCTTACATAGGTTCTAAAATATATAAAAACCGATCAATAATTAAAAACAAAAGGTATCAAGCTCTCGTATCCTACATATGTATAATTAACATTGATCCCTATATATTTCCCAAATAGGAAAAATTACATTAAACATATATATTGTAATTATAACTATTATACAATAAAAATCTCACCTATTGCATCTTATCTCAACAGGTTTCTATGATGGCGTTATGCTGGTAGGCGAGTTTGCGGGTCGTAAAATCCAGGATGTAAAGAAAGATTTGCAAAAACGCATGATTGATGCCAAAGAGGCGGATATTTACTACGAGCCTGAGAAGACCATCATGTCGCGTTCAGCGGATGAGTGCGTGGTGGCCCTGTGCAACCAATGGTACCTCAACTATGGCGAGCCCGAATGGCAGGCGCAGGCAACCAAGATACTGCAGGACATGGAAACGTTTCACGAAGAGGCGCGCAACAACTTTGAGGCCTGCCTGAACTGGCTGCACGAGTACGCCTGCTCGCGCACCTACGGCTTGGGTACCAAGTTGCCCTGGGATGAGCAGTGGCTCATTGAATCCCTGTCGGACTCAACCATTTACATGGCCTTCTATACGGTCTGTCACTTGCTCCAAGGCGGCACATTCCGTGGCGAGAAACCAGGCCCATTCGGTAAGTGCGATTCTTAGAAACTTAAAGCCAATTTGATTACATTATTTGTGCACTTTCCCTCCATAGGCATCACACCTGCCGACATGACTGCCGAGATCTGGGACTATATATTCTTTAAAGAGACGCCACTGCCTAAGAAAACAGCCATCAAAAAGGAACATTTGGCTGTGCTGCGACGTGAGTTCGAGTACTGGTATCCAATGGACTTACGTGTGTCTGGCAAGGATTTGATACAGAACCATTTGACCTTCTGCCTGTACAATCATGCAGCCATATGGCCCAACGACGAGACCAAGTGGCCCAAGGGTATGCGCGTCAACGGTCACTTGCTGCTCAATTCGGCAAAAATGTCCAAGTCAGATGGCAATTTCCTGACGCTACACGAGGCGATTGACAAGTTCTCGGCGGACGGCATGCGCCTGTGCCTCGCCGACGCTGGCGACAGCGTGGAGGATGCCAACTTTGTAGAGAGCACCGCGGATGCGGGCATTCTGCGTCTGTACACCTTCATTGAATGGGTCAAGGAGATGTTAGCCACTCGCACTAGCCTGCGCCACGATGCGGCCAAAACCTTTAATGATCAGGTCTTCTTGAGCGAGATCAACTTAAAGACACAGCAGACGGATGAGAACTATCGCCGCATGCTGTTCAAGGAGGCACTGCGCAGTGGCTTCTATGAACTGCAGCTCGCGCGTGACAAGTACCGCGAGCTGTGCGGCGCCCAGGGTATGCATGAGGACCTGGTCATGGAGTTTATACGACGACAGGCGCTGCTTGTGGCGCCAATTTGCCCGCATATGGCTGAGCATGTGTGGGGCCTCCTGGGCAACAAGGAGTCTATTGTGCACGCCCGTTGGCCCGAAGTGGGCGCAATTAATGAGCTGGATATCATGTGCTCAGAGTATTTAATGGAGTCGGCGCACTCCTTCCGCCTTAACCTGAAGAATTTGCTGCAGGTCAGAGGCAAGGGCGGCAAAGAGAAGGCTCTGGATGCACAAACTGCAAAACCCAATCGCGGTCTGGTTTGGGTAGCGAAAACGTATCCACCTTGGCAATGTTGCGTGCTGGACACCATGCGTGAACTATACAACAAGGAGACGAAAACACTGCCCGATAACAAGATCATTGCGGCCACGCTGCAGCAGAAGCCCGAGATAAAGAAGTTCATGAAGCGAGTGATGCCCTTTGCACAAATGATACGCGAGAAGGTAGAAACGGGCGGCAAGGGCGTGGCTGCACTAGCTGTCACCCTGGAGTTCGATGAGCGACAGGTGCTGCTCAGCAATCTGGATTACCTTAAGAATACCTTGGATGTGAGTAGCTAAGCGGTTTCACTAGATTACTCTACTTATCTATCAATACTTCTTATTCAGCTGGACAGCCTGGAAATAAAGTACACTGATGATCCCTCAGCACCTGAAAAGACGCGCGAGGAAGTGCGTCCCGGCTCGCCTTTCATTTTGTTCAGCGCTGCGCCGCATATCAGTGTAGAACTGGTCAATCCCACGGAACGCTCATCTCTGTTTCAGGTGAACACCATCATATCCGAAGGTGACACGGTGCAGTCACTGCGTGAGAAGCTTGCCAAAATTATTGGCTTGAAAACAGACATTTCCACGCTCCAAATCTGGCGCTATGAGGATCCTCTGTTGGGTCCACGGAAGCTGCCCAATTTCCAGGACTACAAGACTGGCAAGACACAGCTGAGCGAGGGCAACTTTGTGCTGGATGTGGCGGCTAAACGAGTGAGCGTCGATCAAGCTGGCAAACTGGCCGAGGTCGGACGCAATCTAATCTATCTGGTCGAGTAGAGAAAATCCGCGTTCTGGTCACGCGTCTTAATTTATAAATGAATTTGGAATTGGAACATTGTAAAACAGTTGTTGGCTATAAATGAATACCTTACTATACTATGTGCTCTAGTATACACCAAAATCCACTATGTGTAAATACTCTTGACCTAGTTAAATATAATTTAGGTCTTTTGGGGATTAAATGTTCTGTCGAATTAGGGTACATTGGCTGGCTTATAAGCCTTGAAAGAAATAGTAAATGCTGATTATATACTGCTAAACATGATATTAAAATATATTCAATATATATACTTCTCCTGTTAGGAGATTAAAGTAGCGCGGCATTAGAACAATATGTTCAAAACTTTGTTTCTCAAACAAAATTTTCTTTTATTTCAAATCAATTTCAAGAAAATAATTGCTTTGTTGTCTAGACGTGAATTAAATTTCTATTAATAACTATTTATATAGACTAATTTAAAATTTGTTCTAATATATCTGTGCGTGTGAGTGTATCTACACTTCATTAGGTTAAAGCGCGCTTTCTTCCCCAACTATTAGTATGCTATTTGTGGGGCGTGTGAGATAGCGTCCCAGTGGGTTGTTTAGGCTCAGTGGGTGGGTATCGGCTAATGCAGCCCATTCAGGGTCTGGGCCGGGCCTATAAAAGCCGAGGGCCTTGTTTCAAAGCCACACTTACAATGTTGTTGGCAAAATTTGTGATTCTTCTACTGCTCCAGGCTGCTGTGGTAGTTGTGGTCGGCGTCTGCCTAATACCCGAGCCTGTCAAGCGCCAACGTTCGCTGGTGGATGAGTTCTGGAGCAGGCGTCCGCGGCTTGATGACCGCATTGTAGGCGGCCGACGCATAAACATAACGGATGCACCCCATCAAATCTCGTTGCAAACATCAGCTCATATCTGCGGCGGCTCGTTGATCTCCGAACAGTGGATACTAACGGCAGCTCATTGCACCGAGTGAGTAGCACAGACAGCTTTTCGCCAGTGGGAGCTCTTAATTTGGTCCCATTCTGACACTTATAGGGGCAAAACTGCGGATCGGCTGCGCGTGCGGTTGGGCAGCTCGGAATTCTCGCGGCACGGGCAGCTGTTGCACGTGCAGAAGATTGTACAACACGAAAAGTTCAACTTCACGAATGTAGACTACGATTTCTCGCTGCTGCAGCTGCGGGAACCCATCGAATTTGATGATACCAAAAAGGCCATCAAGCTGCCGGAACCGGATCAAATGTTTGCGGACGGTGATCCGTGCTTTGTCACCGGCTGGGGCAACACACAGAATCTGCTCGAGCCACGTGAGTGGCTGCGCCAGGTGCAGGTGCCGCTTGTCAATCAGCAGCTCTGCAGCGACAAGTACAAGCAATACGGCGGCATTACGGAGCGCATGATCTGTGCGGGCTACATGGCGGGCGGCAAGGATGCCTGCCAGGGCGACTCCGGTGGTCCCATGGTCAACGAGGCGGGCGTCCTTGTGGGCGTCGTATCCTGGGGCTACGGCTGCGCCAAGCCCGACTATCCCGGCGTCTACTCCAGAGTGGCCCAGGCGCGTAACTGGATCAAGGAGCACACTGGCATCTAGCTAGCGAACTATCTTAATAAATGAGCAACAACAACAGCAACCATTCCAAATCCACCCCACTCTCATGTGTTCCTTTCAGCATCAGCACGCGCTCTCGAAGCGCCCAACACGCGACCTTATTGCGATGCTCACATTATGGCCACGCATGACAACAGATTGACATGGGTGTTTTTTATTTATTTTTTTTATAAGCCACATAAATACCACCCACTCTTCGCGACCCACGTGCAGCACTCATGTGCTGAAGCCTTTAGAATCTGCTGTGAAGTTTCGAGTCTGGGGGATGTCTGGTAGGTCCCAGATATCGCCTAGTCCCCCGCTGTTTGGCTTAGCCCTTTCTGTTAGCAACTGCCTCACGCGCTCCACCCTTACATGGGCGTTTACACAATCAATATTACGCATACGACAGCGCGAACAGCTTTAAGTTGTTTGTTGCTGATTATTCAGTTTAATAACAACTTAGCGCGTGCATTGTTGTTCGACTCTTGCACAATTTTTTAATAGAAATATGAAAGTTTGATTGCTGCTTATTGCTTTATTTTTGTTATGCAAGCCATAAACAAAATTTGTATTTTATGCATTTATATAAGAAATTTAATATAAAAATATACCATCAAGTTTCCTTTCTGTATTTCTTTAACCAACTTTAATATTATAAGCGAAATTCTAACAATAAAATTAAAATAAATCTTAAAACAAATTATTAAATATGGGTAAAAAATATCTTTTAATTTGTTACTATTATAAAAATTGTATAAATTTGACAGAATTTGCTTCGAAATGTGCACTAGAATATTAAAGATATATTGAAAAAAAAAATGAATAACGATATAAATCGTATACTATAAAAATGTTACGTTGTCAAATTGTTACCAAACCTATTTATACTACTTTAATTAACCAAAAATATTATGCTCAATACGATATTCTCTGGAAAAGGGTCAATAAAATGAAATAGCAATGATCGCTGTTAGGTTCTAGAGTGTCTTACTTTAAATATCAGTGAAGGTCAACCTTATTATTGGGCAAAATATTTTGATATAAGTTCAAACAAAATAATACTTTAATCTGAAAAATGTATATAACAAATATAAATATCGACGAGGGACCATCGACCACCCACCCCACCTTGTTTGCTATCGGGGCGTCCACCCCTACCCACAAATAAATGTAATTAGTTAACATGAGATAAAACTTTTAACGATAAGCTTATTTTTATACCCAAGTTCATATAAATATTTTCTAGATAATTGTATAACTTATTAACTTATTGTATATACTTATTATTATAAGTCCTGTCACAAGTTGATCTATTGGCGAATAACACTTTTAGCTGCTATGTGAATGATATTGAAAGCTGTTTACGATATCTCGCGCCGTGAACTTGATAATGATCACACACACACAGGCAGACACACACTCAGGCACACATAGAGAGATATGTCCATGTAAGCTGAACTCGTTAAGTATTTAGTTTGATTAGGTAACGATTCTATGCACACAAATCGCATTGTAAGTATTTTTGCATGCAACTGGAGATGCACATATATACATATATCTGTTACATACACAAACGTCGATCGTTCGTTTGTGCTGCTTGTAGTTGTGATTATGTGTCCGATCTGGGCTCGTCATTAGTTCTATTGCAGTCGCGTAGAGCTGACGTGCTCGGGGCTCGCGCCGCTGACCAGCCGTACGACGTGATCTAAGTTTTCTACATTTGCACATTGCGCATACGCGGCGTTAATAGACCAACTGTTGACTGTATGTTGTGTAAAACTAGCCCAAAGGCAAAAGTGTTAGGCAACAAGAGACAAGAGGCAATGTGTTGTTGTGTGCGTGTGCGTGGGTGCCACCACGAACAGCCTCACCAACACCAAGAATCAATAGAGAACATAGCAGACAGCAAATACAGCGTAGGCACTTTAATTGTTTAACGGTTTGCTATTTTATTGATTGCGGTTGCTGCGCATTCACACACACACACGCAGAGAGACACAGCAGACACACACACGCGCAGACAGTGCAACACAGACACACAAGCGTGCCGCACGTTGCTGCTACACGTGAGCGGCTCGAGCCCCCAAGCAGAGCGTGAGCGCGAATGAGAAGCAAACATTTAGAACAGCAAAGCTTTGGCGCACACAGGCAAACGAACACACACACACACACACAGCCAGCGGCCGGCACAACGGCAACTTGTGGCCGCAGCTTTTACGTCTCATGCGAGTGCAATGTGAATGCGAACGGGCTCGTGGCCGTGTGTGTGTGTGTGTGTGTGGAAGCTTCGGTTCGCTGCATTTGGAGACGTCGACTGGAGCCCAATGCAAATACTTTGAGCATTCAACTTTGTTCGCTTTAGGCAAACGGTTCGTGTTCTCGCGTCTTGCTACAATTTCTAGAATAAATACAAACACTTGAGACTTATCAAAAAAACAAAATATATATTAAATATATTAAACATAATTTCATATATTATTGTTTAATATATTCAACCAATTGAGCTTGTGGTATGTGTAACTCTTGAATAATCATTAAAATTAAATATATTTGTGGCAACTAAATACAGTTGTTTGTGTAAATCTTTTTGTGCTTGTTTTAAAGCCAGTGGAAAATATGTTGTTGTTTTTTTTCTCTCAACACTTAATGTGCAAATTGTTTTGTAGTTTATTGTTGTTATTCTTTTTGCATTTTACGTAAGTTCAGCTTGAAATACGTAGAATACATAAATCATGCGAAATAGCTTACAAGAATACTATAATTAAAATACAACGTTAGAAAAAATTAACAACAAATACGTTGAGCTTAAGTAGATTTAATTTTAAAAATGTTTTTGACAGTGTGTGAAGTGATATGAAACAAAGTGAAATTCGTTGATTTAACATTAAATATTATAACAAAACTAAGTATATTAACAGTATTTCATGAATATTTCTCATTCTTTTTTCTAAACGCAGCTCAACAAAAAACTGAAAAGCCACTTTCAAAACAAATCACATTTGAACCACTGTGAAATAAATTGCAACTGCAAAAAAACACAAAAGGAAATCGGGTAAGTTAATCTATTAGTTAGTTAATATATGCATCCGGCAAGTACACGACCTATCACAGTGTGCTACGACGTAGCCCACTACGCAGAGCTTTCGGCGAAAGCTCACAGCACTCAAAGCTTTCGGTTTTAAACGCGCCAAATTTAAATATTTAGCGAAGCATTACTTTAAAATGAAACGATGCGTTGTTTAGGTATTCTTTTGCAGTCAGCGAAACTTCGAGTTCTGACGCGGAAATATGTTAATCATTATATAACCTGCACACTCTAGAAATTCAAATAGACTTTTTCAAAAAATACAAACAGCTCAGCGAAATAAGGCCTCGGAGCTGCAGTCGTTGAACCAGCTTGACGGAGTAGCATATGATACTTTTCGTGGGATACTTCTAAATTTGCAAGTTAAAGATCCGTTTTTCTTATGTAAAGCATCAATTCGTTAAAGATTTTATTATTCATTATTAAGTGTGTACATTATTACAATCAGTAATTCAATCATATAATCGGGAGTACCATAAGTATTTCATATTAAACTATGTTCTCTGATTATACGATTTGTATTTCTTTACTCAATAATAGGTAAATTTTAAATAATTTCAATGTCTTTGTTTCAATTACATTCACTAAGTAGCTCTCGTTCTTGGGCTTCTTTCTTTTTTAAACAAACCTCAGCAAAATAGGAAAGCCAAGTCACCCTCATTTTGCAACTATATTAAAGGGTATTCAATCGTCTGCCATAAAGGCTAGCAAGTCTTCTTGAAATAAATCTGCTTTCGACAGCCATTCAGATATTAGGCTATTTTTATTTTGACAGCTAGAAAATATTTATTCCTTCCCTGCCATCAAATTGTGTCCATTTGCCTTGCATCAATATGCCTTTAAGAAAGTAGCTTGAGCACCGTATCAAATGTAAAATAAGCGATAGGTTTTTTGAATGAATTTTCCTTTGCGAAAGAATGAAAACGCATTTTGATTAGCTGTGCCAATACAAATACAATGCGCATATCGTTTGTTATCTTTATTTTATTTGTTATCTTTTGCTGTTTGTGAAACAAATTTTATGTAAGCCTTCTTTGAAAGTGTTTTTGGTTTCATAACTGCTAGCGGAAATGGGATCGGGGTTGTACTTCCACAGCACTGGAATGGGTGCAAACATGAAAATACATGCATGTAGACAGATGTATAGGGATAAATTAATGAATATGAGTCACGTATTTAAGGCTTGTCATAGAGTTGATTTAATAATAATATTGATTCTAGCTAAGGTTAATGTGGAACTGAGAAGAGTTCACACTACACTCACTTTGAGAGTATTTGCTTTTACTATATGTTAATTATAAATATTTCAGCAAAATATGAACAATTGAAGTTTATACTTATTTTAGTAATGATTCACGTTTTAGCCCCTTAAAAGTGCTGACTTATTAAAATTTAAAAATATTTAAACGAACTACTTATAAATTATATAATGAAAACAAAATTTAAATATCGCAATAGAAGAAGTTATCCATGCAAACTTACAATAATTTCAAATTGCTGTTTCTATATATATTTGAACCAGCGACTTCCCGCGTGCTAGCCTGACGCTCAGATATCGCAGCTCCCCATCACATAATTACTTTCTTGCTTGAAGCTTCAGCAAAAATTTAGCTTCCTAGCTCTTCCTGTTCAGTCAATCAATCATTCAGTCGGGAGAACTTTCTTATATATAAATATACATAGATACTAATATACAATTTTTTCATTTTGGTTAAGTTCAAAATGCACTTAATAGATACGGCAATTAATGTTTTTTATTTTATTTGTGCCAACTTGTTGCATTTTAAGCGACCGCTCAAAAGTATGCAACACTTTTTATTGCTTCATTAGCATTGATATACACGCTCACACAGTCAACTAGCCACGTTATATTGTATTCCAAAACAGAGTAATATTAACAATCGTAATATTCCCATTTCTCGCAGTGTCTTTCAAGGATATGTAAAGACAGCATTGGGGCTTGAGCGTGTCCATGGCATAGTCTAAAAAATCAATTTTGTAGATTTTTATGCTCCCGCTGCGAAGCTTACACAATCATGGGAAATTGTACGTGTGAGTGTGTGTGTAAGTCACATGCGGACTGCGGATGCCTGCAAATGCTTATGCGTCAAACAGTTACGTGTGCTACTGAGAAGGGTTAGGGTTAACGTTGAACTCGATTCAGTTCGTTTCGATTGAGCTTACTTTGTTGTTTTTTTCTCTTCTTTTTATTGGTAGTCCATTGTAAAACGCTGCTGCTTACAATTTGTTGAGTTGGTCGATTGTAAGCTAAAGGGGGGCTGAGTGTAGTTATGTGACATAGTCACATCAATTAAAAATTGTATTGTTTGCGCAGTTTCCGTTGTAACAAAACACGCTGCCTGGGCACGTGTTGCCTTGGCGCTTGTGTCGCGTTATCCTGCACGCTGCGATTGCACATTGCACGGTTCGACAGTGAGTGGGCAAAAGAGGAATGGGGTGGGGCACGGAGGTGGTGCCAGCGCAGCACTTGACGTATTGGTCACATGCAGCGCACTGTGGCCAGCTCTGGTTTCTATTTATGGCCAGCTTTTGTGCTACGGACTGAAAAGCTTCGACAATTGTTGATTGTGTAATGGAACGGCAAGTGCAGTGCTTGTTGGCTTTTCAGTGATAAATAAATATATATATTTATATATATATATATATATATATATCATTAGTTGTTTACATGAGCCAACTATGAACTTCTCTTATATTTTTTATATAATAGCGCTCAGCCCAGGTTTATTTATTAACAATTTAAATATCATATTTTGGGAATGCAAAAAATAATTATAAGTTATATTAAAAAGTTAGGGTCTCGGCAGTTATTGACGCAATGAGGGAATTATTTACAACCCGTCCGAATTTTTAGAATTCGTCAAAATTTAAATATATATAACTATTCACTAACTTTTCAACCAACCTACAGGAGGATAACAAGAATTAGATATATTATTTAAATAAATTAAAATTTTGAAAATGAATATTTAACTATACTTAAGAGACAAATTAGTAAATCCAAATGTGAAGTTTGTTTTGTTAAGGACTCTTTCATTTCCCTGACTATTTTCAGCACATGTTATAAAAGAATTGCTGATTGAAATCGATTGTTAGAATATATCAATATATGTCAGAATTGAGCAATGTGCCAAACTTGGCAGTTTAAGAACAACCAGGTAAATTATAGCATCCACATACCAGACTATATATAAAGAGGATCTGTGATGGACTGGTTACTCGCAACACCTCAGCTTCAGAGCGTCTTCTCCTCGTTGGGCTCCCTTGTGGGCGGCACCTACGTGGTCAGTCCCAATGCATTGGGTAAGCGAAGAGCCTGAAACACCTAAATTGCATAAGCTAACTGATTCTTGTCTATCCTAGCAATTTTGGAGGAGATTAACCATAAGCTTACCTATGAGGATCAAACGCTGCGCACTTTCCGTCGCGCCATCGGCTTTGGCCAGAATGTGCGAGTCGATCTAATACCATTACTCGAGAATGCCAAGGATGATGCGGTGCTCGAGTCAGTCATACGCATATTGGTTAATCTTACCGTGCCGGTGGAGTGCCTGTTCTCGGTGGATCTCATGTACCGCACCGAGGTAGGGCGTCACACAATTTTCGAGCTGAACAAGCTGCTCTACAACAGCAAGGAGGCCTTCACCGATCCGAAGAGCACCAAGAGCGTTGTCGAGTATATGAAACACATTCTGGAATCGGATCCCAAGCTATCGCCGCACAAATGCGATCAGATCAACAATTGTCTCCTGTTGCTGCGCAACATTTTGCACATACCGGAGTCGCATGCACACTTCGTGATGCCCAGGCTGCAGTCGGGCGGCGGCCATCAGGTTTCCATGCAGAACACCATATTATGGAACCTATTCATACAGAGCATTGATAAGTTGCTCCTATATCTGATGACCTGTCCGCAGCGTTCGCTCTGGGGCGTGACCATGGTGCAGCTGATTGCGCTGATCTACAAGGATCAGCATGTGAGCACCCTGCAGAAGCTGCTGAACTTGTGGTTTGAGGCCTCACTGTCGGAGAGCTCGGATGACAATGAGAGTAACACGACGCCACCCAAACAGGCCAGCGGCGACTCCAGTCCCATGCTCACCTCAGATCCCACATCGGACTCTTCGGACAATGGCAGCGGCGGCAAGAAGGAAAGCTGCGAGGGGCGACGTCAGGCTCTGCGTGAGGGCACCGATGCCACGCTACACGAGGTCAGTCGCAAAGGGCATGAATACCAGAATGCCATGGCCAGCTCGAAGGCGGCCAACTATATACTGGAGGGACCCTGCTCGGCCCAACAGCCGTGGTCCGACTATGAGATGCAGGAGTACAAAAAGATGACTGCCGTCATCAGCGAACCATTAAATCTTTCACAACCAGCTGACAATGTCAACTACACTACCAATGCGAATTATGCTCGCACCACAACCACAGATACCTTGACCAAAACGACTAGCCTAAAACATGAGGCCTTTAAGCCACCCGCACCACGTCGAAACACCCTCTCGGCCATGTTGTCGGACAATTACGCACCACTCTCGTTTATTTCGGCCGTCAAGCTGGGCCAGAAGTCACCGCACGCGGGTCAACTGCAGCTAATCAAGGGCAAGTGCTGTCCGCAGAAGCGCGAGTGCCCATCCTCACAGTCGGAGCAATCCGACTGTGGCTATGGCACCCAGATGGAGAATCCAGAGTCCATATCCACATCCAGCAATGATGATGATGGTCCCCAGGGCAAGCCGCAGCATCAGAAGCCGCCGTGCAATATTAAGCATCGCAGCAAACAACGCACCTTCGCAGTACCGCAGGATACAAAGGATCTGCGACGCAAGAAGCTGGTCAAGCGTAGCAAGAGCAGCCTGTAAGTACTAAATGGGAATTCATCTAGCCAGAATCGTCCGCTAAACTGCAATCCCTTAACCCATTGAATAGCATCAACATGAAGGGCCTGGTGTTGCACACGCCCAACGACGAGGACATATCCAATTTGCTTAAAGAATTCACAGTCGACTTTTTGCTCAAAGGCTACAACTATTTGGTAGAGGAGCTGCACTCCCAGCTGTTGTCCAATGCGGTACGTTAGCCTTGGACTCTTGGGGCTAAGGATGTTTGCTTACAGTTTCCTTTTTCACAGAAGATGCCCATTGATACATCGCATTTCTTCTGGCTTGTCACGTTCTTTCTCAAGTTTGCCGCCCAGCTGGAGCTGGACATGGAACACATCGATACAATACTCACCTTCGATGTTCTGAGCTTTCTAACCTATGAGGGTGTTAGCCTGTGCGAGCAGCTGGAGCTCAATGCGCGACAGGAGGGCTGCGATCTGAGACCCTATTTGCGTCGCATGCATCTGGTGGTCACGGCCATACGCGAGTTCCTGCAGGCCATCGAGGCCTACAACAAGGTTACCCATCTCAGCGAGGATGATCGCTATCGTCTACGCCAGCTCCAGCTGCAGATAAGCGCCACCACAGATCTGCGCTGTTTGTTTGTTCTGTTGTTGCGACGATTTAATCCCAGCATCCATTCTAAGCAGTATCTACAAGATCTGGTCGTGACTAATCACATTCTATTGCTGATTTTGGACAATGCTGCCAAATTGGAAGGCGGCCAGACCATTGGACTCTCGGAACACATCTCACAGTAGGTTACCCAATGAATGTCTAATGTTTTTTTGACTTACCCTTTTGTTAACCTTAACAGATTTGCCACCTTGGAGGTGATGCACTACTATGGCATTCTCTTGGAGGACTTCAGCAACAATGGCAAATATGTCAACGACTGCATCTTTACCATGATGCATCACATTGGCGGCGATCTGGGCCAGGTTGGCGTTCTCTATCAGCCTATTATATTGAAGGCCTACTCTCGCATTTGGGAGGCCGACTATGATATATGCGATGTAAGCATCCGTTGAAATACTTTGTAGAGCTATTCTATAACAATTTTCTTCCTCTAACCTGCAGGACTGGAGCGATCTAATTGAGTATGTTATTCACAAGTTTTTGAATACGCCACCCAAATCACCGATGGCTATACCAACCGCTTCGTTGACCGAACTGACTAAGGAGCATAATCAGGAACACACTGCTTGGTGAGTTGAAATTTTAAGAGATCTTCACTGTGAAGATGGGATTTTGTGTTCTCGATCGGATCGATATAGTTTAATCAAACTGTCTGTTTTTATGAAAGCTAGTTTCATCATTTTTCAGACTTTGAAGTACTAAATTTGTTGTTATTTACAGCCCCTGGTCACAGGAGGACATGGACTCGCTCTGTTGGTATTTTGTGCAGAGCAAGAGACAAAACGATGTGATTGGCAAAATTGCGAAGCTGTTTAGCAACAATGGCAACAAGATAAAGACACGTATTTCTATCATTCAACAGCTGCTGCAACAGGTGAGTCCGCAGATCATATTGCTTGAGCTTTTCTAATCTATTAATTCCCAATCAGGACATTATTACGTTGCTGGAGTACGATGATCTGATGAAGTTCGAAGATGCCGAATATCAGAGAACCCTGCTGGCCACGCCGACATCGCTGACAACCGATTCGGGCATTGAGTTGAAAGAAAGCGCATATGGCAAGCCCTCGGATGATGTGCAGGTGTGTTGGGAACGGAGTTAGGCTTAGGTTTTACTACATACTAACTGGCAATTCATTTGTTGTCTAGGTTCTGCTCGATCTGATTAGAAAGGAGAATAAGTCGCAGCATTTGGTGTGGCTGCAGAAATTGTTGCTCGAGTGCTGCTACGTCAAGATGATGATCAAGTGCGGCAGCTGCCAGACGGATGTGGAGCCCATCATGGAGCCGGTGGTCTATCATTGCATGTTCAAGCAGAAGCCTATACCGGTGGTCCAGTGGAACAATGAACAGTCGTCGACGATGCTCTATCAGCCCTTCATGCTGCTGCTGCACAAGCTGGGCATACAGCTGCCCGCGGATGCGGGCTTAATATTTGCCAGAATACCAGATTTTTGGACGCCAGAGACGATGTATGGGCTGGCAAAGAAGCTGGGACCGTTGGATAAACGTGAGTTGAACTCATACCAATCTAAGATTAAAGGTGATGTATATACCGTTATCAATAATTTTGGCTCTCTATGTTGATGACACAAATTTTGATTATGGGAATATCGCCCGTCCCTCGCTCCTCGCATCATCAATACGCACAAAATATCAAACAATTCCATTTGCATAAACCCTATTCCATGCCCACCCCGCCCCCTAAACATTTCTCTGACTGTGGCTGAATGTGTGTGTCAATCGGTGTATTTCGATATGCTCTGTGCCTCTCTTTCTCCTCATTTTCGGCTCTTATAGTGACGCTCAAGTTTGATCCTCGCGATCTGGAGGATGCTCCCCCGTCGCGCCATCACACCGGCGCCCGCAACTCGCTCAGCTCGATAAGCAGCCTGGAGGCTGATTTCGGCGATACTGAGGGCCTGGCACTCATACCCGAGGTGGATGCAGCTGTAGAGAAGGCAGCAGCAGCGGCTTCTGCTATACCAAACAATGAAATATTTGCTTTGCCCAGGGTCAAGCACAGCAACTCCATCATCAGGTGTGTGTTGGGTTTCACTTCTGTGATTAACTGATTTAATTGCTTTACTTTTTTGGCAGATACACGCCGGATCCGACACCGCCCGTGCCCAATTGGCTGCAGTTGGTCATGCGCAGCAAATGCAACAAGCGACGCAGCCCAGCCACAGACGCCAGCGATTGGTAAGTGCCACAAGAGTGCCCCAAAAGCCATCAGATTTATGGCATGCGGCCGCCGTTAAGACGTTCGTACTGCAGCATATTGTTTACATGGCGCCCTCAATGCAATTTATGAACTTTAAGACCCGGCTCCACATACTCCGCACAACTCAACATTTACTTTCGTGTGTTGACAGTTGTTTGCAACGCGCCACTCGCAGCTTGCAGCTTGCAACTTGCAACCTGCGACTGGCGACTCTCACAGCTCGCACTAAATGTCAGGCTCCGTTGGCCATTGTCTTGTGTGTTGGCCCGCTGCTCTAGCCTAGAACGGGCCTCCCTGCCGTTCGCGCCATCTGAATTCATCCGTTTTCGGTATGTTCCATATGTGTGTGTGTGTGCCTGAGTGTGTGTGTCTATCTAACCGCTTGCATCTCTGGGGCTTTTGGACCTCACACGATCGCCCGCTGCTCATGTTGAACTGCATTTTGCGTACTGTTTATGATAGCCTTTTTTTGTTGTTGTTGTCTGCCTTATGATATTTGTTGTTGCACACAACTCTGAGATCAACGATAAATGCACCCTGAACTCTGGCTATAGTATAACTTGGCCTAAGCCTGTCTCGACCAGGCTTAAGTTCGCCCAGCAACCTTTTGATGTCTTACAACCAAAGGGCTTCTAGATGTCGATTAGGGGTTTAGTTTACTTGTATACAAATTAGTACAAATTTGATCCACTTTTAACCAAGGCTTTCATATTTCATATTATTCTTCACTATCAGGCGAACCTTAAATCAAACCAATTGCTTAAAAAATAACTAAACAAAGCACTAGTGAAACTATATTTGTCTATAAAGACGGTTTGGTTCAATATAATAATTCATAAAAAGCTTGGGTTCGCAAAACTTTATTTGTTTAGCCATATTCGATAGATGCCAATTTTGGTTAAATATAGAATTTTCATTAGAACGGGCAAATATAAATAATAAATTTAGTCAATATTTTGGTTGGGGTCCATGGTTGCGGTTAATCAGGTTTTCGCATCGAACCTAAAAGCAGGAAATGAAATAAAATACCTTTTTTGATATGTTATTATTTATTTTCCAAACATAGTTTCCGTATACTAATCACAATAGAATACACAAGAAATATTGCAGTTGGCGCAGCAAATAAATAACTCTATAGTTTTTAGATATTATATTTCGCATATCATTTCCATTGATGTTATAGAACTTCGAGACTCGCAGATACAACCTATCCATGACTAACAAAATTAAACTTAATTTACATATTTCAAAGATTTGCTTAAGTAATAGAAATGATATATTTAAAATTCGCTACATTTTGTATGCATTTTGAAATCCCCAACATTTTTTATTATTTATCAGACTATAATTTGGATTTATGAGATTTAAGCCAGAGCATTATGACGCAAGCTGACCAAAATTAATTTTTGTTTCACAGTTTATTTGGTTCCCAATTTGAGATGTACCACTTTTTTGGGTTACATCACAAGTAACGTATAATATTTTTTAAATTGAATATTGTTAAGATATTAGAAGATCTTTTAAGGAATATAAAGTTCCGAGTACTGTTCGATATACTTTCGTTCACAAGCAATTTGATTGAAAGTTTGATTTACTTTTCTATTATAAATCCCAAATCGCTTGCAGCGCATTTCCAAGTCGCCTTTTCTCAGTATGCCCTAGTTTTGTATTTTGGAGAATTATTTTGTCGCTTGACACCTTTTTAGTTTTTGCATCAGTTTTGCGAATCTAAAACCGAATTTAAATCAACGCTGTCCATGAGATACATTGCCTGACCTCTGTCTGCAGCGCACCCGGCGAAACATGAAATAAAATCATCGCGATTAGCACGCGCAGCAGCTGTATCTTGTATCTGATGGATATGGTTAAGTGCAGCGATGTGGACGGTAGCAGAAATATCAATGTTAATATGAATTAATTAAGCTCGTGTTGTGCAACATATTTGCAACCTCGTTATTAACTTGGGCATTTTAATCAAATAAATCACTAAAAGCTGCACTGTGCAAAATAATTCCAAACGAAGCTCAAGTTAGAAAGTTAATTTATTTTGTTGTCTGAAATTTTAAGTAATTCTTTTTTAATTAAACAAATATCCAAATATTCATCACAAGCGTTTAAAATATATATACAAAATATTTAAATTAGTTTATATGTTATTAGAAGTTAGGAGCTCAAAAATTAACAGTGACAGCCAAAATAATTGGAAAGACCCTAACAAGATACAACAAGGTTGATTTATATTATCAATAAATTTAAGTGAATTAAATTTTGTTCAAGCTGAGATTTGTTTTCAGACCGCCGATATTTTTCTCTCAGCGTAAATTATTCCAATCACAGATGTTAATTGCCATTTGCCAATTAACAATTGCCCATTATTGTTAAAAAGTAATTAAAATTGGGCTGTGAATAGAAAATAAATGAGCTATAAATCTAAAATAAAAAAACTGAAGCTGAAAGCCAACGACTTTGGGGAAACAATGCCAAATGGCATTTAGCAGATTTTACAACTGCATCTCCATCTCAATGGCACGCAGCCGGTTCAATATCTCCAGATTCCCGTGAGAAATACTAGCAGATAGAGAGAGAGAGACAGAGAGAAAGAGAGAGAGAGAGAGAGAGAGAGAGAGAGAGATATTCGACCCAGTTTATTTGTTGTGTTTTTTATCATTCCCCGAAAATTTCAATAGACTTTTGCGTTCTACACTTTGACGGCATGTGAAATATTTTTGTGCGGATTTTTATTTATTGTCCAGATACTCTGCTGCATTTTTGGCTAATGTGAAACGAGTTTGGCTCTTGTGGGGTTTCAGCACGCGGAAAGTAAAAGTCAAAAGTTGTGCGACGACGGTCAAAGGCCCGCCAATCGCCAGCAACTGGATATCGCACCCAAAGATATATCGCATGCGTGCACGGATCGCCTCTCGATACGCGAAATGGCAAACAAGTTCTCTAATGCTCGAATAGACCAAAGTCCAAAGGCAAGCCGATTTATAACAGAAGGTTTTCAGCTAATCAATTGCGTCAGTTCTTGGCTCGACTCTAGGTGTGGAGCTATTAAGACTGCAGACTGAGGACAGACAGGTTTCAATTAAAATCAATAAACAATTTGACAAGCAGAATCTTAAAAAAAAAAAATTGAAATGAAAACAAAAACCACCTCGAAAGTTTTGCCTAACAACTAACTTATGTGCTGGAGCTTGATAGAACAAGACAGTTAACCAGTCTTATAAGTATTATGACAAGTTGTTAAAAGTTACTCGGATTCAAATCACATATGCATTTTATAAACAAAAGTCTTAATTTTAAAAACAAACAATGTGATTAGCAATGATTTTGGAATAACAAATTAATATATTATAAATGCCCACAAATGTCAGCTGCGTTCAAATCCATTAACATAAAAAGTGCATAGATAAGTGCTGCCATATCTGCTGTGCATTGCAAGCTGGCAACGCTGCAATTTGTTCATCTTATCTAGAGTTTATCTAACAGAGAAATTAATAGCCTGATTGATGTCGATTGACAGTTCTGTCAAAAAGAACATAAAAACACTATATGTTTGACAACGTATTTTATCCGATAGTTAACTTTGACAGAAACATGAGAAGTACTCTGCAGAACCATAGATTGACCACTAAGGAAAAGACTTTAGTTTAAAAGGAATGTAAAGCTGTTTGTCAGTTTCATTAAGAAAGTCAGATTAAGCCCTACATATTTTTTATTTGACAACTTGTGGAATTTAACTGCACGCTAGCTATATACGCAAATTTGCATATAATTCCCAACTAGTGCAGGCAAGCATGCTCTAGTCCAAGACACTGCGCGATGTGTTTGTTGTTGGTTTTATTTAATAACTTTTAAGCAAATTAACACAATGGCGTTACCAAGTGGGCACGAGACACAGTTATTTTTTGTGGATTTTACGCTTGCGGCGCGTGGGCGTTGACAAAAAGCAATTTTCCAAAGTAATTTAATTTGACGCCTGGCGAAAATTGAAATTGACATTTGTGTTGTGTGCGGCCCACAAGGAAGCCAAGCCGAACCGAAAGCCGAACTGCCTTCACTCACGAGCAGAGTTATTCGAGTGGACCGTGTGGGCCGACTCTCTGTCCAAATTGTCTGTCTGAAATGTCCCGTCGAGTGTCTGTCAGTTGGCAAACAAATAAGAGCATGAATTGCATTCTATTGTGCTCGGTACTTGGCCAAACGGCAGCAGGCAGAAGACTTGCTCAAATGGTAGCCAGAGCCAAAGCCAAAGCCAAAGCCAAAGCTAAATCCGAAACCAATTCGCGGGGACTGTGGGTTCAACTGTCGACCTTCTTGGGGCGCGTTGTTTTTGGGTTTGGCCCAATGTTGTTAACATTTTGCTTTATGGCTGCTGCAATTTATGAGCCAACAACAGACGAGGCATTAAGCGCAACATGCAGACAAACATGGACACCAATTGCTCTCAATGGTGTGGATTGCAGTGCAGTGCACCTCAGCAGCAACAACAGCAGCAGCAGCAGCCACATCAATCAGTCGCATAAATCATTTTAATTATTAAATAAACAAGTTTTGAGCCGCTGACTCATTGTGCTCCGCGGACGGGCAGCAAAATGCAATTGCCACTGGGCCAGGCACAGGGTGTGAGCCAAACTATCAAAGGGTTAATTGAGCAACGATTTATGTTGCATTCGGTTCTGTTCTGCAAAAGATGGGCGAGAACAGCTGTATGTGTGTGTGTGTGTTTTTGGGGCTACCGTGACTGAGATACACAAAATAATTAATTGAGTGCATAATATTTATATGGATAGTTAAAGTTGAAACCGTATATAGAATTCAATCTGTTGATTGGATAATGGGCAATTGTCCTACATTGTCATAAGACTTGTCAAACATTTCAATTAGAATATTACCAGACTGTATCATTGCCTTTATTATGTGATAATAGATTTCATTTGCACTTTTATTTAAAGAGCTTAAAATGATTTACTGAAGCTTTTATTATAAAAATATATATGCTCTGTCAACATTTAAATACAAAAGTTTTTCATCGATTCTAAGAAACACAAAATCTTATTACTAATCAGAAAATAATAATTTTTAAAAACAAAATTGAAAATTAGAGCATCATCATTTAAGCTAGTGATTTAGTTAATACCCTTCACAAATATCCTCTAATGAATTAACTTTTACCAATAAAAATTGCATTAATTAGTGAGAACATAAATCAACAAACCATATTCTTAAATACATCTTCTATGGTAACTCTATCTACAGTTGAAGCATCCTTTCCTATTGTTTCTCTCGATTTTAAAAGTCTATAACAGAAACTCTCTTATTTGCAGCACCAGCTCCAGCACACTGATTGCCGAGGACGAGGGCAAGTCATATGCCTCCATGGCGCAGGCTTCACAAACGAAGCTGAACGCCGGCTATCCGACTAATACGCTGGTCTGTATGAACAAGTTGAGCAACTGCAGCTTCACGGCGCCACCGAATGAGAACAGCAGCAGCTCCGGCTGCGGTGGCACTGCATCTTCGATGTCAATGCCAAGTGGGCCGGATGGGAGTTCGGCGGCGTTGATGAAGTCGTCGTTTGAGCGGCTGGCGGTGACGGGCGCACGCTACGTGCGGCACAGCAATACGGATCAGGATTACAGCGCCTTGGTGGCATCGGTCTACGAGAACGAGTTAGCCAAGTGAGTGAGTTAGTGATTGGCTCTGAGATTGAGGCTGAGCCATGCCAAGAGCGGGCCAGCTAATTGACAATTAGACACATTGCGCAAATGCCAAAATCGAATGAAACGAATCTCGAGCCACACAACTGACAGAATGTCAACCTGTCAATATCCAATAGTCAATGGTCGCCCGATCGCCCGATCGCCCTGAAACACGGCGGAAGCATGCCAAGCATTTTTATACAGTGTCTCACATAAATTTATGGCGGGCAATTATTCAATTTAAGGCGAATTCGATTCCAACCAAAATTGGAGGCGGTTGCATGTCCAACTCTAATATTATTTATTTCCATTAGGCAGCCTTTAAAGGCGCGACTATTTGAAATGCAAAATACTGATCGGGTGGTGTTTTGCTTGTTTTTCTTTTCCATTTTGAACAAATCGATTTTCATTAAATTTCGTCTGGTTTCTACCAAGTTAATGCTAATGTTTGCCGATGACTTTTACATCTTCAATTCTAATCGCAGCAGCGACAATGTGTCAGTGGCCTCGGACTTGACCCGCATGTATGTCAGCGATGAGGATGAGAAGCATGACCTCCAATTACAACAGGTGGAGGGACAGACAGAAAGGCAGAGTGAAAGAGAGGGAGAGAGACACTAAGGTGCGATTGAAGTGATTCGAATGAGTTGGATGATTCGAGCTATTCGAGTCATGCGACTGATTCGAGTCATTCGAATGAGGCAGACAAAGGCAGACAATGAACCGACCCAAGCCAGCTTTATGGCAGTTAATTTTAGTACCTTAACATTGAAAATCTATTACCTAAACCTATAATACCTATATCGTATATACATATATCAAATATCATATTAAATGTTGAATTTTCTTAAGCAACAACGATTTACATTGTTGTCGGTGCATATGCCAATGCAAGGAAAATATCTATTTAAAAAATTGAGATATGAATGAAAATTAATTACCAAAATATTATTTTTAAAAAAAGTATGAAGACAGAGGAAAAATTGAAAATTGTATTTCAAATTAGTTTTTATTAAATTCATAAATATTTATTCGCAGGGCTATAAGAAGTGCATTATACTGTTTATTAAAAAAATATAAAAATGTACACTTTTGGTACATACACCTATATAAAGTTATATATATTGGAACTTTATAGAGACATATGTAGAGTAGTTAAGCGAGCCTTATAATCATGTATTTGGTTTAAATAGATAAATGGGCAGTTCCTGGATGAAATAGTGCAAATATACACATACCATGAAAATATTTTTACAATATCCATGAAATATTCGTATGTTAGACTAAATTTTATTTTAAGAAACAATTTTTGTGCATATATGCATGACAAACATATTACAACCAACAAATCTCTTTGTTAAGCTATTAAAAATATCCTTAGATATTGTAACTAATAAAGCTTTCCGTGTAGTAATCAATGTTATACGATTTACTCTGTATTGCATTGGCCGCGCTGAGAGAAACCCAGATCCGCCATGGGCCCACACGCTGTGCGACTAAACAAATGACAAAATCAAACAACATTTGAACCCTGTTGGTTGCCCGAATGATCTAAGCCGAATGTGAAATATGTGCTGCAAATTGGCGGAGCCAGAAGAAAAACGAGCTATGTATGACCATTGCGAATTAAGGTCATTGGCGTAACCGATGGCTAAAGCGGAATCTGTTGCTAAAATCTGTGACTGTGCGCTCCACGCATGTGCACCCAAACGGTAGCCGAGCAAAAAGTATATCTCATAGGTAGACATATGCTTAATATGGCCCAAGTGCACATGAATAGATAAATGTGCGGGCCAAAGCCCAGCCAACCAAAATGGTAAACATGCCAAAAACAATTACCAAATGCTGCAAACAACAACAGCCAACAGCAGCAGCAACAACAACTGCATGAGTCGAGAGCAAACACAGAAAACATTGCAAAAATAGCCGTACCAAAATAATAATAATAATAATAATTGTGGCCAATTGCTGTTTAGCTGGCAGTTAATTGCAACATGGCCAAGACAGCAAAGCTGCACGAGTTGGTCCGCCAAAAAGTTCTCCGGGTGGTTGTTCTTTTCCGCAAATGCAAAGCCACTCGAATTTTGGGCAAAGGCCAATGAACCAGTTCGAAACGTCAATTTGTTCATGTTTTACAGAAGAACAAAAAATCATGTATATATGTTTAATGCATGATTTTTTGATCAAGCATGAACTACAGTTAATTAATTTCCAAAGACGAATTCGTATATTTTTACATTGAAAAATAAAGTTCCAAGAACTATGATCCAATATTAAATTAGAATATTTTGATAAAGTGAAAACAAATACAATATGTTCTGCTTCCAAAAATAATGTTTCAATAATGAACTCGTTAAGTTTTCTCATTAAGCCAAAGTATTACAACATATAAAATATATATAAGCAGCTTTAAAAATATTTTGAATAAAGGATGTTCTCTTGAATTCTCCATAAATAATACAACTGATAATTATTATGTAATTATGTAAAGAATATTAAAAGAATTGAGATTTCTATTATTATGGAATTGAAAAAAAAAAACATGTTTCTTTTGTTATTCTATAATTTATAATCGAAGATTATAAAAATAGACATATTTGAATTTTATGTATTGTTGGTTTTGGTGACCTTTCCATTTTGTAATTATTTTGCTAGCTGGAGATTAAAACTTCGAATTTTATATTTAGAACCGATATCACAATGTTGATTGCTCGCTGACTTCTGACTTTAAAATAAAGTTGTCTAAAATAATTAAAAAAACAAATACATAATAAAATTTAAAAGTTAATTTTTATTGTTTATTAAGTCTGTTGCTGCAGCAAATCATTATTTAGCTGTTGTTCGTTTTTAACCTGTTATATAATTTTTGTTTTAGCTCTGAAATGATATAAAATTAATTTCAAGACGACAAAGTCGATCAGAAAGTACGTCTAGCTAATTTATGCTTTTAATCAAAGAATGCTGCATGCAAAACTCGTATGTGCCTCAACTTGTTTAAATTCACTGGCATAGAGATTTCTCAGCCAAAGATTAGATGTGTTTTAGTTATGGCTTAAAGGTGAGCCAAAAATCAAGTGGTTTATTCATAGGTTTCTGCCAATTCTGTATGCAGTCTCATATTTTGTACTAATATTTAAATGCAGAACTGTGACACTTTGGCGAAATAATGAAAATCTTGTTTTCCAGCCCTCGTTCTTCTTGCCAAATGCAGAATGCAGTCTCTGGGCTCACGTCCACGTCGTCATCGTCGTGGCTGGTGACTGGAACTTGGTTGGCTTTTGGCTTTGACCGTGCCGCAATTACCAAGACAGGCAGCTAATTTTATTTGCTGTAAACGTGCGCCTCAGTCTGCTGTTGCTGTTATTAGAGCTGATTTTTTCGGTGGGAATTATTTGACGATGACTTTTCAGGCGTTGCGTGTCTGGAGCGCATTAGCCACCAGCAGCCAGTCGGGGCAAACAAAAAGCGTCAGCGTCAATTGAGTTGTCAGCCAAGTGACAAGCCATTACTCAGGGTGGTCTTTGGGTATATAAGTGGTATGATATCTAAGCCGGACTCGCAGTCTGTTATTTTCGGGGTGTTAATGGAAGGCGTTGAAATGTTCAAAATTTAATTTGTTTTTGCTTTTTTTTTTCGGCCATAATATGCAAATTGAACAGGAAGTCGCCGCAACAGCCGATTGTCAACATTTGATTTAAAAGTGATACAAAGGCTTTAATAGATATAAAAGAATCCGTCAAATATTGCCAAAAACTGGTTCGCTTGAAAGTAAAACTAAAGTTCAGTAAAAGCAACAACAAGTTTCATAGATTACAAAGCACATTATTATTAAACTGAAGATTTGCTGACAATAAGAAACAGTATTAAAGAAAGCTGCGTTGCGTTTAGATATACGAAACCTTAATACTCTTCTCAGATAACTAGATGTTCCATATATTCATATCAGAAGTCAATAAGGTCAATAAGTCAATACTTTTAATATTGTGACTAAATTCTTTAAATTATGGCATACTTTGAGCAGACATCTAATTAAATTTTACTTATTAAAGCTCTTGCCTCATGCTCACGTTATTTGGCAAGAACCTCGAAGTTTTCGCTACAAGCAAATTTAATTCTTAGGTATATATTTAATGATCCACAAGCCGCATAACATATTTAAGAAGCTCAGCACATAATTAGTTATTGCCATCTTTTTGGACAGTTCGCGGTCGACTGAGTTGCATAACCTTTTTGCAGAGGCTTGTCAGAGTTTATGTAAGAGTGAAATGAATGCCATTTAGATAGCATTTAGCTTGGCGTGGTTCACAATTTGCCTGACCATATTCCGGCTGTACATACTTAGACGTGTACTAGTTCCATATTTGGTGCATATTTTGTCAATGGCTCTGGCCGCGGTCTTGTGGCTGGCCCAGTGAAGTGAAGTCGTGTTGAGACAAAGTGCAATAATTCACACTCACTTTGGTGCGACCCATTGGGCTTGTATATGGGCTGGCACAACACAACGCGAATCGACATTCCGCATGCCGCATGGTGCATGCAATCCATGCAGATGCCGAACAAAAATTATGCTTGAACTGAGGTGATTATGAAATTTTACATGCACACGCTGCCACTTTGTATAGTTTATGAGTTGATAAAGCAGGCGAGGCGTGTCTATCGGGCAGCATCGAGAATTCCGTTTGAATTGTTCGAATAAAGTTATTAAATTGAATTTATGATTTCTATAATCAAAACACGAGCGTGCAGTTGAAAAATGAATTGTTTGCCAATTTCAAAGTGCCACCGGCGATACGTGTATTTTCAGTTAACAATTTATGACTAATTTGGGCATGATTTATCCAAATGTACATAAAACAATATGCAAAATTGCGGCCATCTAGCCGGCAACTTATTGTCAGGCCACAAGAGCTGAGCGCTTGCCAAAAATAAAATATGTTTGCGAATTTAATTAAGTTAAACAAAGGCCATGGACAGCAGCTCGCATCAAAATGATAATCAAATGCATTCGATTCTATATTTTTTTGAATATATTGCGGGCACACCTTAGCCAAGACACAAACCGTAGACGTATATTCGCCTGGACCTGAACAGCTTCGGCAGCTTCGCTTGCAGTTCGGCTGCAACTGCGACTTTCGCTTCGGCTGTGCCTAAAGCCTCGGCTTTCCGGCTGAGACAGATCGAAGCTGTTCGAGTCGCTGGCTACTTCAACTTGGCGTTGCATAAAAAGTGGTTCAGTGGAGCAAACGGCTTCAAACTGAAAGCATCGCGTGCGCGGCTAAAAGTATCTCAAAGATATTTAAACTTCAAGTTAAACGGCGCGGAAGTGAGGTGTAGGTGTTCAATAAATAAATTAACTCTATAAATAAATATATTGTGATCATCCAGATTCTTTTTGAATTTATAAAGAAATTATACGAGCTTCTTAATTTATCTGTGTCTTATGCAAATTGAAACAATTGTTGCAAATTCAAATAAATAAGAAGAACATGAATTTCTAGAGAATTTTGTTCTTCCTATATGTTAATTAACATTTATAAATATTAATTTGCATTTCCAGCTACGACGTATACGTTATATTTGGATACATATATATTTATAGGCGGTTGCACACGGTTATAAATTAATCCAAGGTGAGTTTTCTGTGCGTTTCGGAGGCTATTTTGTTCAAGAATGCAATTAATAAAATAGTTGCAAATGAAATAGTGCATTTATATATTTTTTTAAATTAATATATTCAATTAGTACAATAAATAAATTATTTATTGAGGAACTAAGTAAAATTAAATTTCTATATCACTTTAAATTTCATAAAATAAATACTTTAATTATTTGTTCAAAATAAACACTAATTTCCCACAAACGCATTTAATACAATACAACTTCAAGTATTTAAAAATATGCTCAATTAAACTGTTTCACAATTTTATTTTTGTGCCATAAAATGTATTAACATTTAAAATTTTTG